AAAGGAAGGAAGAAAAGGAAGGAAGAAAAGGAAGGAAGAAAAGGAAGGAAGAAAAGGAAGGAAGAAAAGGAAGGAAGAAAAGGAAGGAAGAAAAGTGAAGGAAAGGACGGGAAGGTGGGGAAGAAAAACAGCGGAGAGGGTGGGGAGACGGTCTCTTATATGAGCGGAGGCAGTCACTCCAGCTGGCCGCTAGCGCGAGGAAGGAACGCGTGGTATAGTGACTGCCCGCTACGGAACAGGTCACAGGTAACAGTCGTGACTGCCCCGCCCGAGCCCGATGACAAGGTGACTGCGCAAGATCCGGGTATTGCCTACCTAGTCACTCCAGCCTTTGGCCTTTTCCCCGTTCCTAGGAACAACTAGCCGAAGTTGCTTCAACCTTTGCAATGCATAGCACTCAATCGTAACCTTTCTCTCTAAGAGATTCGCAGAGTGTACACTACCGATATACCTGAGCTTCATCGCCGTCACACAAGTAATGGCATCAGATAGTCCTCAATAAGCGCTGTGTGGTAACCACTAGATTAAAAACTATGTTGATAGAAGTTATGTAGATGTTGTGAAAAGAGCCTTACAGGCAGTATATGCAATCGCAGTAACTCCAGCGATTGATATCAACTATGGTCAATGCCAAAAGATGCGGGTACGCCATCATCTGGTAACCTGGTGTTGCCGAGTCTAAGCAGCTTCTAGATCCGGAAGTTGCAGATGCAGTCGCAGAAGAGAGCTGGTCAGAGATTTCCGTAGCCGCAGTCGTAGCTGTTGGATCCAAAGAAGGGCCACTCTGCGGTACAAATCGCCACATGCCGGGCACGTTCTACATGGTTGTAGTTGTGTGATCTAAATCCAAAAGAAGGCTGCACGCCCATGTAAGGGCAAAGCCGACCCACACCCTGTCTCTTGAACGCCAAAAATGCAGTGCGCGAGGCGCAAAAAATAGGATGAGAAATTGATGAGAAGAAATACGGGATGGCTAGCCCGCGATGAGAACCCAGAGGAGGAAGACTTCAAACTTATATTAGCGCGACTGTTTGTGGCTGAAGAGAAAAGGGAGAAAGAGACTCACAAATCATTAGTATGCCGAACATCTTAGCGACGAGCCAGCGGTTGCCGCTCATGCGACCCCAGTACTTCATTAGCTCGCGCTGGGCGCCCTGGACGTTATCAACCACGTCCTCGGTATTTGCATCAATGCGCTGGATCATCTCGCTCTGCTCTGAGACCATCTGCGCCAGCTGGCCAAAGATACCGCCTAACTCGGAGATGGTTTGTTCGATAGCTACAATGGCTTCACCGCGCTGGTTGATATACGTGTTGGTTGGTTGGGCCTGGGCCTCCTCCATCATCAACAGCTGCTGGTCCGACATGTGGCCGCCGCGGGATCCACCTATGAGAGCCGAGGAACCGGAACCGTTAGGCTCAAGCGTGAGAAGGTCCTGCTGCGCGGCATTTGTCGTGTTGTATGCAGGCGGTTTAGGACTGCGGCCGCGCTGAGGCGGCTGGTAGAGGGGTGAATCGGAGCGGCCGGGCTCAGCGAGTGCGGCGTGCTGCTGCTGGGCTGAAGCCGAGACGGACGAAACGAAGTTCTCGGTCCGCGATTTGGAGGCTTGTATGTTTTTGGTGCGCAGCTCGAGGACCTCCTTGAACGAGAGGCCGACGTCGGCGACACGACCTTGTAGTAGCAGCAGAACATTCTTATTGTGCTCGCCCTCCTGGTCGGCCTGCTGCTGGGCGCGCGGGTGCTGCGCGGCTGATATTCCCTGTAGCTGCTTGATACTGCCGTTAAGCTGCGCTAGATCTTGTTTGATAACGTAGGTCAACTCGGCGATCTCGACAGGACGGTCGTCGAACAGCGTCTTGCGCCGTGCTAGCTGGGCCAGACGTTCCAGCTTGGCCATGGATCCTGAGATGCCGCGCCCAATGTCCGCCGCCTTGCGCGCAAATTCAGAGCGCTGTCCGCGCGTCGGAGTGCCATTGGCCGCTTCAGCGCGCTGCGAGGCCGTCAGCAGCGACTGCCGCTGAGCGCCGACCTTGGACGAGGCGAGGCGGCGCTGGGCCTGGTGTAAAATGGAGCGAAACTCGTCGGTGCGATCTTGAATGGAGGCTGCCATGGTGGCAGACAAGAGTCAAAAAGCGAGCGGAATCGGCGGGCGTGGTGGGTGGAGGATAGGTGTCAACAGGAGTTAATGGTACGCCGGAAGAGTACCTGCTGGAATGTTAGCGGAAGCGGGGCAGGGATCTGATGCTGCGGCTGACAATCGTCTATTCTCCCTCACGGCGAGGGTGACTTTGCAGCGAGGGAAGTTGTATGGGACTGGTCGAACAGCATGGTGTAATAGATACAAAGTAGAGATACTTAGGTAGAGAGAGAGAGACAGCGAGACCCGCGGAAGGAAGCAGCTCGAAGCCGGCTTGCGCCAAAAAGCTCGGACGCCCGCGAGACGACATCGCGTCATGCGCGCAACTCTTAACATTCTCATCATTGCTAGGTTCTCTCTCTCTAATGAACACATTCAATTTCTAACTATTTCTTTCCGTCTCTTCTATCTTGACGATCTTCTATCTTGACGAGTCTAAGACTCCTGGATTCGCTCGTGCTCCATGGACATCCAGGGCGGCATATACTCATGCCGCCGATAATTCTTGCTTATCCAGTGGAACCCCGCCTGCTTGATGACCATCTCCTTCGGGTTGTGGCGTAACAACCGCAAGGACAAGCCGTATAATTCCCCCGCGTACAAATCCCTGTACGGGTCCGCCCTCCAGACGGAATCCTCTAAAACATCGGTGGGGTCGGGCAATCCGTCCAGCTCGACATACTTGATCCGCTGCGGTAACTTCATCACCAGAACTTCCCACCAGCGGAGGAGGGCACGTGTGCGCCCGTTCAGGTCCCGAGGGAGGCATCCAAAGTCATGGCAATTGTCCGGACAGTGGGCCTGATGAGGAAAGTACTTCCATATGCCTCCAGGGAGATTGTTGAGGGCAAGGAAGCTCTTGTCGTAGAGCTTAAGGTCCAACACGACAGCATCCGTCTTTAACCACTCCTCTGAGGAAGCGTTCTCAACGAAGCTCTCAAATTGGACGACATCAAAACGAGCGCGTTTCTCGCAGAGCCACCGGGGCTCCAGGAATTCCATGTCGTTGCGCAGCGTGCCGCAGATTTGGCTCAGCTGTCGGGCTCGCTTGAACTCGTCGATGTCGTCGTCCGCAATGTCGACAATCTCGCCCTCGTCTACATGCGTATCGCAGACGTCCGTGGCACTGCCAGCGGACAGGGGCGGCAGCTTCGGTATAGCCGCATCTCTCAAGCTACATACACCCATGACCTCCTTCAAGATCATCTGCCTCACCTCAGCCGGGAGGGAGAGCAGATTGGTCTGGGGAGTCACAGTAGGGCCTGTGCTTGATGATGCGTTGAAGCCAGCCATTGATACGTCTCTGATCTGGTCCTTTCCTCTGGAGGGAAGGAGTTTATTATATACATGTTGCTCCAGAAAGTGAGCAAGGAGTTGTTGAAACGATATTATAGTTGCATGACGTTTGATGGTGTCGATAATGCCCATGTCCTTGAACAACGGCATTGTAACGCAATCCTCAGCGTTCAGGAAGGCTGTGCACTGAACTGCCACTCGCGGGGTATTCGACTGCAAAGAATGAGGATGCCTAGACCTCGAAAAGTTCGTCTACCTGTCAAATGCCCGATGGGTGAAGGAAGGCCTGATGATGTGTACGAAAAAAAAGCTTTCGTCAAGCTTAGATGTACTTTTGATGTATATTGTGATAAAATGCACGTTCAAACGTACATCTACACTTGACAGGAGGAGTTAGGTTTTATTATATGCAAAGTAATTTGGGAAATGACTGGTAAATATGATTTGAACCAAGGTTGACGTTAAAATTTTGACGATTGACCACGAAAGACCGGAACACTCTTTGTTCCGAACCAGACCACCTTTTTCACGATGGCTGGCGTCTAGCGATGCCTTCTTACAGATTGATGACTCTACCCCACAAGCATTGTTATTTGCAAATAGTAGTTTTCCTTCAGTGCGTCGCAATCTGTACGTAATCACTGGGGATGCTCTAGGAACTCTTTTACTGAATAATACATTGTTCCAAAGTGATCTACAAAGGATGGTTGTATGAAAGTTCTTGTCTCCTTGTCTGGTTTCCCCCAAGGTATCCGCACCCCCCCCCAACGATGACTTCTTAAGACGTGCTGTTCAGTTTGTCATAGGCTTTCGAACCAGTAGTGGACAAGCTCGGTGAGTGTATGTTGCTTCCACAAGTACCATTCCAGACGTGTACAAATCCAAGCGCACTAGGTCTTCAAGGCTTTAAGCTTCCTCTTGCGAGACTTCCGTAAGGCCAATCCCACCCTCGCGAGAGGATCCTTAGGCGTTTTGCGCTGAAGTATCAGATGACCTTCATCTTGAAGACTACGCTCACGGTCTTGGGCGCTGCAATCGCCTAAAAGACGTTTCTTCCAGGGCGGAAAGAATGACACAAAGTGGCTCCCGTCGTTTGTATCGGCGAACTTGATGATGCATCGGTTCTTCGTCTTCGCTGCAATCCGCAAAGCAACCTTCGCAGTCCAACCTGACTCTGGCGTTTTCATAGGGATAAAAGGCACGTTGATAATCTCGACCGAGCGGACTGAAGGCGGCATTTTCATGACAGCTTTGAGCCATGGCTTGTAAACAAGAGACGCGAGTTTGTCGCGCATGAGTTCTAGTCGGTATTGTCCTTGACCGCTAGGCTTCCCGAGTCCGACTTTCCTCAGCAGTTCCAAGTCCGCCGGTAAGTTCCTGTCAATGACGACCAAGGATAGTGTGTCGATAATCGGGCTCGGGCTGGCAATGAATGCTTCGAACTGGGTGAGGTTCATGCGTCTACGCTTCCTCAGAGCGTGGGTAAGCCACGTGTCTTCGAGTGTTTGCATCTTCTCGCGCATGGCCTTGTTGATTTGTGAGAGCTTGCGGATAGCCAAGTAGTCGAGGATGTCCTCAGTGAAAAAGCCGAGACCGAAGGGATTCATGTGGAAAATTGCCTGGTCGCCATGATTGCTTTTGACTTTGAGGAGTGTTTCGATCATATGCGTACGTAACGAGCATGCGCCGCCGACCGCAGCGTCAAGAAGCAGGAGCTCGATCTCTAACGGAACTGCGATTGGGACTTCGAGGAAGTATGGCCGCCATGTTGCGGCCATATCGGCGGTACGTGGAGGTCGTTTTCTGCAAAGGTTGGGCGAGGCTTCTGAAGGTGCTCGGAAGTTGTTAGATTGGAGCTGAAGAGAAGAGAAAAATACTTACGAGGTAGCAGGTATGACGTAAATGCGTGGGAATAAGGTGTGAAAGAAAGGGGAGTGTGTTACCTTGGTACCGCAAAGGACCTGGCTTTCACTAAATAGTCAATCACTATAAGCAGAGTTGCGCCACATTCTGGTCTGTAGATCAGTCAGCTACCATTTCCGATTGTATTACTGTATGCTAAATCGGATCACTGAACGGTTTGCCAGGTACATGTTTGTTGTTTGTCTTTTTTGCCTTTTTGCATGCGGCTTGCTTTCCAACTTTTCGAGGTGATGGAGGTACCTAGGTAACTAGACTATCTTTTAAGCATCGATATACTCTCTCGGTCTGTGCACTGAAGTCCTTTCCTTTATGATTGCAAGTCAACATTCGCTTACCCTCTTTACCATATGCTTTTACTGTTGCCTGAGAAGGGTTACTGCATTGCTATACACGGGTTGTCTGGTGGATATTAGGTCAATCTTTCTATCTACTTCTAGGAAACACATTTACACCAATTCCATGCTAGCAATGAATCGCCGTCATGATCGTGGTGTGGATGCAATCCTATGGACGGGTATCCATGAGCGGAGCCAAATGGCGATAAGGCGATGGCGAGCCATCTTGTGCGTCCCTCAACGTCCGTTTCGATCTCTTGGTCTCCACTGTGAACTCGACCTGCTCCTCCGCTGGAATAAACTTCCTCAAGACCTCATCAAAATACTCCTGCGGCACACCCAGAGACACCGCATCCTTAATCCCGTTATTCATGCGCCCAATGTACTCTTTGTACGGATCACTATCGGTGACGTTAGTCCGACTGATATACACCAGCATCTGCTTGGCTTCCGGGTCATTTCCCAGCACGGCCCGGTCATCTGTCTCTCGCACCCCGCCGCCCTCGAGCCAAAAATCAACAGACATGTTCTCCTTGGTGTACGCGTGCGGTACGTTCTCATAGCGATCAAGCAGCGCCTCGTCTGCTGGCGGCAGGTCGTACACCAGACCGTATACCACATCATCAGCTGACTGTGTCTCAACGATGTTGGCGTAGTGCCGCTCGTTGATCTGCCAGCGGTAGCCTTCAAGGCGTCCGATTCCGAGGTAGCTCGATGTCGGGCAGCGCGAGCGCATCTGCGAAAGCCAGAGGTTGCTGCCGTAGCCGAAGTAGATTGTCGTGGCTTGCGTTGCGGGGACGGATTGCTGGGAGCCCATTTTATATTTTTGGAGGCGTGATTGTTTGGATGGAAGGGCGAGGACACACGTCGAAAGTGGAGGAGGGTTTGTGAATGGTTGCGGTTTCTCTTACACGTGCTCTGGGAGTTGAAGATGCTGTTGATGACGTGATTGCGCCCGGTTTGTCTCGGTTTGTTTCGGCAAGCCGATATAATTGTACGTAGCGGACAAAGACAAGACAATAACAATGATAATAAAGGGTAAAGCTTCCAGAAGACATGCTAAAATACTTTCTGTATTCTGTAAATCGTACTTATTAATTTTGCTAAAAAAAAGACAAAATGCCAACAAATTTTATTTTCAAAGATTACTTTGATGGCTTGAACAGTTTAATCCTCCGCGGTTGTTAATACCAAACTAACTTCCGTCACCGCGAACCGAGATCCACCGCCTAGCGAGACAGGGGATGATATAAGCAGTCCCTGCAGAGTACTCCTTGCCTAGCTCCCAGCCGGAGCCCTAGGGTATGGGTGAAAAGGTCTTAGAGCACACATAGACTCAACATATCTTAACTAGGTATCTTCTTCTACTCCATACAATTATCACCATCTCGCTTCACGGTGACGAACGTTAGAAGCTTCACAATGACGGCTAGGACAAGGTTAACCGAATTTATACCACGAGACTTAGTAACTAACGAACCAGTTGTCCAAGAGTCCAGATTTGAGCAAACAAATTCAATGTTTGTTGCAGTCAGAACCAGGATTAATACCATTCAACTACATACCTTGAGAAGCTATGTTGGCCATGATTGGAGCCCGATGCCTCTCACCAGCGTTTGTACAAAATCTCACCACCATCTTCATGGCTCATACCAGCCTGACTTACACTGAGAATCCCTTCAGCCACCAGGTCCTCAACAAGCGAGAAAATCATCCCGTCGCACCCCTTCGCAGCCATGATATCCACCGAAACTGGGAGCGTTTCGGTATGGTTCGTGATCGTTGAGAAATAACTGAACTTTCCGACTACAAATAGCGAGTTAGTCAATTTGGAATGCTTACCCAACTAAAAAAGGGGAAACTTACCAGGCACAACCACATCTGGAGCCTCGCTAAAGACGCTAACTCTCGCTGGATTGAATCCCGTTGGAGCATCGGGGAGCTCCTCAAACAGGTTGCGATAATCAGGTTCAAATCCAGTAAATCCGGCCAAAGCATAGATTAACAGGCTATTGCTGCATGTCTCTGGGGTTGGAACGAGCACGTTGCTATTGAACCAGTCCATGAAGAGCGTCTTGTTTGCAATACCCTCCTCGATCGTCGCAGAGGAGTTATCACCCCATCCCCATCGTGCCAATGGTACTGGGTTGACGAAAGGAAGGCGCCCATCGTGTGCGGCGGCGTAGTCGGCATAGAACGGATCGCGGACCAGGCGGGTCTGTTCTTTGGCAATGAGGAGAGGATATGTAATGTTGAGTAACTCCGTTAATGGTGGAGCATCCGGCTTTGAGGCAGACCAGTCTGTGATGGGGTCGTAGGCAGTGGCATTCGCTTGCAGGAATCGTGTGATGTTTGAGAGAAAAGCGGCCAGAGCTGCGTCACCGTCGCTCTCGACTTTTTCCGGGAATCCCCATGTAAGGATGCTCGAGGGGTAAGACGAGGTTACGGTAATATTGGAGAGATACAGTGCCTTTGCCGCAGCTGTCCATAGTGCTGGGTCGCGCGTCAGGAACCCTGCCGTGTCAAGCTCAGGTGCCAAAGGCATGACGTTTGTCAGTGGTACCAGTCCATGGGAAGGCCTGTTTCCATACAGTCCTTGTACTTGGCTTGGAGACCTTATGCTACCGCCAGTGTCAGAGCCGATGGTTATATCGAGCCATGGGTATGCACCTTCTCCAGCGCCGGGGCCGGATGAAGAAGCCGCAGGTTGCTGGTAGCCATCTCCGCGTGGGTTAAAAGGCGCGTGGTAATCAACCCATTCCGCGGTCGCGGACTCACCGTTGGCGAACTGGCTTGTTTTCATTTTTCCAACCACAATAGCGCCAGCGTCGATTAGACGCTGCACAGCGACTGCGGTAGTATTCGCTGCTGGGTAGAAATGATACCACGCCCGGTTTCCGTTACTGGTTTTTAGACCGGCGACATCGAAGATATCCTTTACACCGAGACGAACGCCAGCAAGTGGTTTCTCCTCTGTCTTTGTGAAGTACAAACGGGATGGCACTGCGACAGCAAGTGATTGACCTTTCGTGTTGGCAGGAAGAACAGAAAATGAGCCATCGGGCTTTGAAATCGTTGTTTCAGTGAATGCTCCTTGTACGTCTGCGTACAACCTCCAGGCCTGGTGCAACTCTCCTGTGGAGGAGACGAAATACGGACCCTCTGGCAGAGCCTCGGAAGCTTCACATGCGGTAGTCGTGATAGAAGCGTTACCAAACTTGGGAGAAAAGTGTTGCTTTGGACCTAATGGGCCAGTGTACTGCACATATATACCTACCAATGAATAATATTAACGAAGCTGTACGGCGGTTGGAACAAGGGCAATGTGGCCTTCGACAATGTTGTTGGAGGGTAAGGCAGATAACCCGGAAACCAGACTTGGACTTACCTCTCAGAAAGCCAGATTGAAAGACATCATCCTCTTTTGTCCATTCAGCAGCAAGTGATGAGAACGCTTCACTACCGAAGCTCAGGTCATTCGTCTTGATAACAGTGATGGGCATAAAACCCGCAACAGCGGTACCGAAGAGATCTTTCTTTACGGGAATCGTCGCTACAGCTTCTGGAGTGATGTAGTACGGTACATCATTCAGATTGACAGTAAAGCCGGTAGAGGAGAAGGTAAAGGCTGAAGTGAGGCGTGTTACGCATAATGTGATGAGAGACAAGTAGTGGCCCCGCGAGAAGCCACTGAAGCGGAAAGCGAAGGCCATCTCACTCGGGAAGGGAGAGATCAAATTAAAGGGACTTGCGATATTAGAAATTAGGAAAACTCGTTGCTTTTATATTCAGAATAAAAGCTAGAAGCGGTGAGACAACGTTCTGACTGTGTTAATATCTTAGGGCGCAAGGTGACTGATTATCCACCAAACACCGAGAAAAGGAAACGGAGAGTTAGCCAATGAGCGGCCTCTTCGGAAGTTATAGCCTATCCGGATCGCTGTGGCGCTGTCATCGATCTTACTGTCAGCTGTCAAAACGGATTTCAACACAACAATGATTCGGCAATACCGAAGTGACCTCATCGCCGACCAAAGCCGAGGAAATAAGATGAGGCTCAGTCTCTTTATAAGCACATCAACACACATAGTTCCACGAGGTTTTATGCCGTTGTGTTAAAAAGTTTGTAGCCATCACTTGCGATGGACGGAGACCGGCAAATGGGTCGCTTCACCGGATCCTGTCGAGATGCCTATCTGGCCCCCTCGGACCCCGCTGTCAAGCGATAAGGAACCGAGGACAACGTCCCGATGACGTGGCGGTCAATAGAATGACAGAAAACCCATCGATCGAGGTGTTGTGGCAGTGTGAAAGGGTGGCTGTTGAGTGGAGTGAGGGGGTGCCTGGCACCCTACTCCGTAGGAGTAATACGCCCTACTCCGCAGGAGTAGCTACGAAATACCTGACGTGGCTGTGCAAGTCAATCGGCAGATGTTCGGGATATCAGGCGCTATGGCTGAATCGGGTAAATAGGCTCAAATGTTATGGGAAATGGGGAATTTGGCCTATTTTTGTTTTGATCTTCAGGAAGCCGCCAATAATATGTCGTATACTAGGCTTAAAGTGTTCCCGGACTGTTGTTGATGCGTGCCCTCTTGCCCTGGCTCACCACCTCCACGAAATACCGTACGGCGTACCCGAAGTGCTAACTGTGCAGTGACGCGGGCGTGCCAAACATTGGATTACAACAGCTTCAGAATGAATAGTATGATTAAAAGTTTACCCCCGGGCGCAGCTAGAGGCATACAATCGCATAGTGGTGACAAAGTTTGAGCATATGAATTTGGAATGGTGTGGGGGAAATTGCGCCAGGGAGTTTTGCGCCACGGCGTGCCGTGTAGTCGCAAGTCGCGTCTTCCGACGCGATCGAACCTAGGTACCAACTTCACCCTCAACGCGCCATGCAGCAACCTTCACGTCGGAGCAATGGCTGAATCACATGGACCTCCTCGTTACCTTTCGATCACAGGACAACCTCTTGACCTGGGTATCGATGGCGGCTTTCTAGGTATTAGCAGCAGCTTCCGACGACGCCCTACCTTTACGTCAGCAGCTAATCCACATGTAGGCAACTGCTCGTCTATCAGCTCCTTCGAGAGGCTGAACGCAGCAGGTGAAGGCAGTACGGCCGTCTGACGTCCCCAGTACCGAGAAGGAGTTTATTCTTACCTTGTCTAGCCTACGGCATCGTATCGCGCGCCCGCGACAAACGCAACGGAGCCATTGTAGCCCTCAAGCAGGTCCGGATCCTCGACGAAGAACGGCACTATGGCATACCTATCACGGCCATGCGAGAAATCTCGATCCTCCGCTCTCTGAAACACCCAAATGTTATCAATGTACTCGATGTCGCTGTGGATGACATGGTGCTGGAAGATGTCCATATGGTCATGGAATTCTGCGAGCAGGTTGGTAGTCCTGGCTGAGGCAGATATTTAGAAAAGACTTTGATATCATATGTACTGGCTTATCTTCCTCTGCCGAGAGGCAGGGGTTTTGCCAGGTTATGTTATAGGATTTGGCTCGCTTGATTGACGTATACAAAATGGAATTCACTCTGGCCGAGGGTAAGTTGCCTAGGAAGTCTTAAAGTATGTGCTATGCGCAGGGACTAACGAGGCTCTAGTCAAGTGCATCGCGAAGCAGTTGCTCGAGGGCCTCGAGTATCTACATCGCAGCAGCATTATTCATAGGTACATTTGGCCAAGTTTGTTCTATAACCATCATCTGACCGATTATAGGGATGTCAAGCTGGAAAACCTCCTGCTTACAAGAGACGGCACGCTCAAGATAGGTGAGTTGAGGCATTATCTGTCCTGTCACGGCTAGGACGCAATGTTAACGGGTGACTGCAGCTGACTTCGGGTTGGCACGGGAGTACGCCGCCCGGCCAATGTCTCCATGCGTCGTAACCATTTGGTACCGAGCCCCTGAGCTGCTACTCGGAACTGAAAATTACACGCCGTCCGTTGATCTCTGGTCGACAGGTCTGATCATTGGAGAACTGATTCTCGGCACGGCGGTGTTGCCCGGCAACTCGTCAGTATATCAGCTGTCACTGATTGTGAAACTTCTCGGCAGCCCGCTCCCTGAAGACATCCAAGCGTTCTCTGCAATGGGTTGCCCGAATTTGATCAAGTGGGAAACGGAACACATGCCTCATGGGCGTGTGGACAATCTCGAACGCAAATTCGTCGACGCAACGTGGGACACAATGCTCTTCCTCAGCGGGTTGTTGCAGTGGAATCCTGGAGCGAGATGGACTGCTACAGAGGCATTGGGTAAGTCGAAGAGCGAAATCGCTGCGGACGCCGAGGCTTGGTGGAAGAAGAGTCCTGGGGCAGCCGACAAAGCTTCATTTGCAGCATCGGTCGATCGCAAGATCAAACACGTGGACGACGGCGATGCAACACGGAGACAGTCAAGCGAGGAAGGCGAGGGGGCGAAGAGGAAGCTCGAAGAAAACAACGACGACTATGGCGGCTATGTCTTCGATTTCGGGGAGGGCGAGCCGGCGACGAAGCTACCGCCAAGAAAGCGGAGGAGCTTGAGGAGATAAGGGACGGGCACTAGCTAAGCTTCACGGACGCTTGCGTGCAAGTGAGCAATTAATCGTCATTTGCTGTGCGATGTACCTTGCTTCGTGTCATTCGTTGCTCGGCAGCACGCGACGGTGCTCGCGACAACCGTGCCTGGCGGGGAAACGAATCAGAAGGCGACGGTAGGTAGCGCCTGCGCCCCAAGCTCCCCATTCCCTAACATCGACCTCCCTCATCGAGAGGCTCATGACGCCGAGCCGCGCCCAATGCGACCCGATCCATGTAAGGCCGGCCTATCGTCCGATCAGGAAGCTCGACATGGAGCCCCATCATGTACACTCACTAACCTCGGCCCACCGCCCCATGCGCCAAGCTGCCGTTAAGTCTGCTGTTTGGTGACTGTATGCATGTTAGCCGACGACCCCGACTTATAAGGGCACACGTGGCCGCCCTTTCCACCGCGCCCATCCCGCTGTTCTTCTCTCGTTTGGTACCGTCCGTTCTCTTCGTGTGGACCTTCGTTCATTCAGCTTGAGTTTGGAAGGTCTTTCGTTGGATTCTTTCCCTCACTTTCAATCATGCGCGCCGCTACCCTCGTTGCGGGGCTGCTGTCTCTGGCTGGCGCCGTCAATGGCTTGAGCTTCGCGAACCTCGAGCGTCTGGAGGAACTGCGTGCTGTCCCGAAGGATTGGCACCAGGTCGGCTCACCCGAGGCGGATCAGAAGTTGCGTTTCATGATCGCTGTCAAGCAGGTATGATAAGCCCTTCGCCCTACCCAAAGCTGTCATACAGCAACAGCGGGGTAGATGCAACCCGCAGTTGCTTGTTTCGAACTTGTTTTGCGCAATTGTTTGTTGTTTATTTTTGGTACTAATGCGTCTTTTGCAGCCCGCGAACGAGGCGATCTTTGAGCAGACACTGCTTGACATCTCCACCCCGAGCCACCCGAACTATGGAAAGCACATGAAGCGCGATGAGCTCAAGGCCTTGCTCCGTCCTCGTGCTGATGTCACCGAGGCCATCCTCGACTGGCTTCAGTCTTCTGGCATCAAGGACGAGAACATTGAGAATGATGGCGAGTGGATCAACTTTGATGCAACCGTTTCCCAGGCCGAGAAGATGATGGACACCAAGTTCAACACCTATCGCAGCCAGATCCGCAAGAACATCCAGAAAGTTCGGACCCTGCGTTACTCCGTGCCTGCCGAGATCAAGGAGCACATTAAGATGATCCAGCCCACAACTCGTTTCGCTCAGATCAGGCCCGAGAGGAGCCAGGTCCTTGACAAGCAACTCCTCAGCGAGGCGCAGCTTCAGCTCAACACCACCTCTTGCAACTCTACTATTACTCCGACCTGTCTCAGGGATCTCTACAACATCAAGGGCTTCACGCCCAAGGTCAATGGCTCTTCTTTCATGGCCGTGAATGGATTCCTCGAGGAATACGCTCGCTACGATGATCTGCAGCAGTTTGAGGAGAAGTACGCTCCCTGGGCTGCCGCCAAGAGCTTCAATTTCGGCTCGATCAACGGCTCGCAGTTCCCTCAGGAAACCGCCGACGACAGTATCGAGGCCAACCTGGACATCCAATACACGGTGCCGCTCGTGGCCCCACTGGATGTGACCTACTACTACACTTCTGGACGCGGCCCGCTGGTTCCAGACCTTGACCAACCCGGCGAGTCGTCCAACGAGCCGTACCTTGAGTTCTTCACGGAGCTGCTCAAGAAGCCCGACTCGGAGCTGCCCCACACGCTGACGACCTCATACGGCGAGGACGAGCAGAGCGTGCCGCGTCCGTACGCCGAGAGCGTGTGTAGTTTGATCGGGCAGCTCGGCGCGCGCGGCGTCTCGGTGCTCTTCTCTTCTGGTGACACAGGCCCAGGTTCCGCGTGCCAGACCAACGACGGCAAGAACACGACGCGCTTCCTGCCCATCTTCCCGGCCGCATGCCCGTACGTTACCTCCGTTGGCGGAACTTTCCACGTCGAGCCCGAGGAGGCGGTCGACTTCTCGTCTGGCGGCTTCTCCGACATCTGGCCCCGCCCTGACTGGCAGGATGCGGCTGTGTCGAAGTACCTCGGCATTCTCGGCGACCGCTGGGACGGACTTTACAACCCCGAAGGCCGTGGCTTCCCGGACGTCGCGGCGCAGGGCTACAACTTCCACGTCGTCGACAAGGGCAGGGAAACCCTCGTTGGCGGCACCTCCGCCTCCTCGCCCGCTTTCGCGTCGATTGTCGCACTGCTCAACGCCGCCCGCATCGAGAAGGGTCTTCCTGTCCTGGGATGGCTGAACCCGTGGCTGTACAGCGGCTCGGCCGCCCAGGGCTTGACGGATATTGTTGACGGTGGCTCCACCGGCTGCACGGGCACTGACATGTACTCCGGCCTGGATGCGCCGTATGTGCCGTACGCGGGCTGGAATGCCACGGAGGGCTGGGACCCGGTTACGGGCTTGGGCACGCCGAAGTTCGATGTCCTGCTGCAGGAGGTCTCGAAGACGAGGACTGGCTACTTCCATGCTTGAGTGAGAGGCGGTGCAGGATGAGCGCTGTGATGGTGCTGGTTGCCTGTAGATAGGACTGCCTAGTTTCCTTACTCTTACGTCTCTACGAATGCAGCTACGATAATAACGCCTACACTCTTGACTCTTTGCTTGCGTGAATTGCATATTCGATATCTACGAACTCCAGGTAATGACCCAGCATCACATCACCAAAAAGACAAAAACAAAAAAGCACGCGCCACACACACGGCCGCCGCCGCCCACCGCCAGCCGGGCAACGGGTGTTGCCCCCCGTTGGCACCATCCGAAAAAAAGGCGTCTTTTTCGTATAAAACGGCGTCAACTCGTTACGAAACAACTACCTACAGGGTGCTGGTAGTTGATTCGTACCCCTGGGACGCCCTTCTCCGTAGGTCGGTAGCTAATTCATCGAATTTTAGCACCTGGCTGGTATTTATAGGCGGGATTTAGCACTCTAATATCCAGTAGCAGACGCAGGTTGTCTATCACGGATCGAGTCAGTACTGACGCAACAACGATAGCGAAATTTATACGAAAAAGACGCCTTTTTTTCGGGTGTAGTTAACGGGGGGCAACACAACGGGCGGCCGTTGGGCGGCCCGCGCGCCCCACCCACGAGCTTGCCTCGACCTCAGCGCATCAATTATTTGCGCGCAAAACCACGCAGGCACGCCAGCCGCCAGCGCGACCCCGGTCCCTGATGCCATGCCGTTGTTCCCCACCATCAGGCGAGCAATGGAAGCGAGTGCAGCATACATACGTGAAGAAGCCAAGGCCTGCAGTAACTGCCAGCTTATCGCCCGTTGCCCGGAGATAAAACAAGCTGTGCCCACTGCTTGCACGGCTCGCTACGGAGTACGCTAGTCGCTACGCTCGCAGGGGCACGTGCGTACCTGCGTGCCTGCGCCGCCGCGGCCGCCGCTACCCCGCGACAGGCAGGTGGCCGAGCTGATCGGCTGCTGGCTGGACTGCTTATCGGCGCAGGGGCCGGGGCGCGGCGCGCGAGGGGGGTTGGGTTGGGCGGTGGGCGGCGGGCGTATCTCGTGATGCGATTAGGTAGGTATCTGGTCCATAGGTCGTACGGTATGTGACGGTGAAGGCGGGCGAGGCGAGGCGGGAGAGGCGGGAGAGGCGGGGCATTGTTTCGGCGCATGTTGGATACGGGAATAGGAGGGGGTTTTTGCGGAATTGAATTGGAATCTGCGCGGATTTGCGGTGGTGACGGGATGGCTGCATAAGGTTGCATGCCGATTGTTGATAGGCATGTCTGGCTTCCGTGTTTCCTACTTGCCTCTTTGAGCGTGGCACTTACGCACCAACCTCCTCTCCGCGCCGCGCAGTACAAAATGCGCGCGCGCGCCCGCTCATGCGCCGTGTCGCTGTCTGGCGTCGTCGTGCTGCTGCTGTTGCCGTAGCGTCTCTCTCTCCCTCTCTCTCATTCCTCACCTTTCCTCGCTACATCATCAACGCACCATGCGCGCCACCACCGCCGCGCTGACGCTCGCGTGCGCCCTCGCCGCCACCGTCGTCGAGGCTCGCAGCCCAGCGCACGTCTTGGGACCCAACAGGAAGCTACCCGAGGTGCCGCGTCCGCGGAGAGGCGACACGGCCAACTTCCGCAAGGCCGTTGACCAGAGCCAGAACGCAAGGAGGGGCGTGAGCGACTTTATTGTGCCGCAGAATGCCAACACTACGAAGTTCGCTGTCGATGGGACCGCTATCCCAGAAGTCGACTTCGACGTTGGCGAGTCTTATGCTGGCTTGCTGCCCATTTCTGACAAGGCCAATGAGACGAGCGAGCTTTACTTCTGGTACTTCCCGTCGTCGAACCCTGAGGCCACGGACGAGATCACCATTTGGCTGAACGTAAGCAAGAGGCTCTCTTCAGGGCGCAGCATGTTGCTAACACAATGAACTAGGGCGGTCCCGGCTGTTCGTCCCTGGAGGGATTCCTGCAAGAGAACGGCCCCGTTCTGTGGCAGTACGGCACCTACAAGCCGATCCAGAACCCGTGGACGTGGGTCAACCTGACCAACATGGTGTGGGTTGAGCAGCCCGTGGGCACCGGCTTCTCGCAGGGCGACCCGACCGCCTCGAGCGAAGAAGAGGTGGCTGAGCAGTTCCTGGGCTTCTTCAAGAACTTTGTCGACACCTTCGCCCTGCACGGCCGCAAGGTGTACATCACCGGCGAAAGCTACGCCGGCCTGTACGTGCCGTACATTGCCGACGCCATGCTGAACACCGAGGACAAGGAGTACTACAACCTCAACTCGATCATGATTTACGACCCCAGCGTCAGCTACGACGTCCTGCTGCAGCAGATCCCCGCCGTGCCCTTCGTCGACACGTGGGCCGGCCTCTTCAACCTCAACGACACGTTCATGGAGGACATCCACGAGCGTGCCGACAAGTGCGGCTACACGGACTTCCTGGAAAAGAACCTCGTCTTCCCGCCGACGGGCCCGCTGCCCACGCCGCCCAATGTCGACAACAACGATCCCTCGTGCGACGTGTGGGACGCGATCTACTCGGCCGTGAGCCTGACGAATCCGTGCTTCGACATGTACCAAGTCGCCACGACCTGCCCGGTGCTGTGGGATGTGCTCGGGTTCCCTGGCTCCTTCGATTACCTCCCCGAGGGCGGAAGCATCTACTTCAACCGCACCGATGTGCAAAAGGCCATCAACGCGCCAGTGCAAGAATGGGCGGAATGCAGCAACGGCGTGCTAGACCGGGACACGTCTGCCCCATCCGGCCTCTCCGTCCTGCCGGGCGTGATCGAGCGCGCCGAGCGCACCGTCATCGCGCACGGCGCGCTCGACTTCATCCTCCTGGTCAATGGCACCTTGCTCACGATCCAGAACATGACATGGAACGGGGCGCAAGGGTTCCAGGAAAGGCCGGCCCAGCCCTTCTACGTGCCCTACCACTCCGACACGAGCAAGAGCACCCTCGCCGCCAGCGGCGTAATGGGCACCACGCACACGGAGCGCGGCCTCACGTGGGTCGAGGTCGCCCTCAGCGGCCACATGATCCCCCAGTACCAGCCCAGCGCGGCGTTCCGCCAGCTCGAGTTCTTGCTCGGCAGGATCGAGTCACTGAGTGTCGAGTCGGGGTTTACGACTGAGACGGGCGCGTATGGCAATGCTGATGGTGCGGCGAAAAATGCGACGAATAAGGCGGCCAGGAGGAGGGCTGGCTTGGAGTGGTAGGTTGGTTGTGGTGGGTCGTGTGTGGACTGTATATATGTAGCTAGTGCTTGGATGAATAATGACGGTGATGGCAACCTCTTTTCTATGCACTTGCTGTGCTTCTATGCCTGTGTACTGAGAGTGCGGTTTCCCCTTTACCTTTGCACCCTAGCTTGAAGCCAGCTCTTGAGATTCTCTCGTGCGTTCATGCTTGTGTGAATATACCACGCCGCGCCTTTTACGAAAGGAGAACGGCTTCCTGCATGAAAGAAGTTGTTCGTAGAGGGAGGTCTGCTAGGGGTGGAGAAGAGTTAAAGGTGGGAGCGTCTGAGCAGCGAAAGTATACAGACAGACAAGCAAACATTAATGCATAGACAGCAGTAACGGATATAGTAGGTAGGTAAATAGCAAATAAACACGAAAGAAGGGGGTAGTACGGTAACCTCCTCCATTGCTTTTTTTTTTTTCTTCCTCCTTCCCCCCCTTAAAACGAACCACCTAACTAATCAAACGTGATCTTCTTTCCCCTCGCCTCGACAATCGCGCCCGACGACCTCGGCGCGCTCGCCAGCGCCGCTCCGGGCGCGATCGTCCGCGCGTCGACCTTCTTGCGCTCGTACGGCTGGCGTCTGGGGCGCGGCGCGGGCGCGGAACCGACTTCGGTGATGGCGTCGGCCTCGCCGCCGTTGTTGTCGTTGCCGTGGCTTCCCCGTCCCTTCGAGTCCTTGCCGTATCGCTTCTTGTAGCGTGTTTGCGCGTCCTCGGCGAACTCGGCGCGCAGCGCCCGCCCGCCTAGCCGGTTCACGAACCACTTGCGCAGTTTTTCCTTCTTGGGCTTTTTGGCTTTCTTGGGTTTGCTGGTGGCGGCGGCGTCGGCGTCGGGCATGTCTTCGTCGTCGTCGTTTTCTTCCTCCTCTTCCTCGTCCGAGGAGTCGTCGTCCCGCTCAACGGGGATGCGCACGAAGCCCGCGACGGCGGCGGCAGCGGCATCGAGCGTCTCGAACGTCACCCACGCGTAGCCCTTGCACTTGCCGGAATCCTGGAACGTGGCCATGTGCAGGTCGGCGACGGGGCCGCACTTGGCGTAGTGCTCGAGCAGGTCCTCCTTTGTAACGTCGAAGGCCAGGTTGCCGACGAAGACGCGGCGGCTGGGCTCCTTGCCGCCGCTCGCCTGCACCGCCAGCGCCTTGGTCGCGTCCTTTTCCTTCTCGGCCGGGTCTTTTTGCGGCCGCCCCGCGAAGCTGTGCGCGTCTTTGATTAGGACGCGGCGGCCGCCCATCAGCGTCTCGCTCGCGCCAATGGCTGCTTGCACGGCTTCCGCGTCGGAGAAGTCGACGTATGCGAAGCCTTTGTTCGTCGGCTTGATGCGCATCGTTGCCACCGAGGCCTTGTCCGGCGCCGGCATGTGCACGCGCGTGATTTGCTCGTCCGTCAGCGAGGCGTGCTCGCAGATGAAGGTGCGCAGGCTCTCCTTGGTCGCGGTCCAGGGCAGGTTGCCAATCCAGATGCCGTGGATGGACTTTTCGGCGGGCTTTGCGGCGCCGGCCTTGGTGGCGGTGCCATCGGCGGCGGCGGCGTCGTTGTCGTTGTTGTTGTCGGTGATGCCGGCTTTGGCTGCCGCGTCGGGCTTGTTGACTACCTTGCCCTTCTTGGCTCGGCGCAGCTCTTTCTTGGACAGCGGCTCGGGCGCGTTGACGTCGACTTCGAGCTCATCTTCCGGCGCGACAATGCGCTTGCGCTTGCGCGACGCGGGTTCTGGCGAGGACGCGACGTCTGATGCGGGTGCGGGTTCGCTGACGGATTCGGGTTCGGAGACGGGCTCGACGGCGGCGGCGGTCTTGGAGGACTTCTTCTTCTCCTTCCGCTCCTTCTTCTCGCTCTTATCCTTCTTCTCCTTGATCTTTGTGCTGGCCATTTTGTGAAAGCGTGGATATATGCAAAAAAAGTAAAGCGTACAGAGAGCGCACACTCGAGAGGGATTGGAAATTTCCTGGGCGACCCGCAGTTCAGCCGGCGCGGGCGAGAATGTCACGAATGCAAATGGATGTTAAATCGCTAACCTGACGCAATTCTCGACGAACCAATTATCTCCCGACCGCGGCCAGCCAGCTCATGCAGCGCGCCCAAGAAGAAGAAGAAGAGGACGACTCGCGCACTGCGACCGTAGGGCGCAAGCGGCCAAGAGACCAAGGCGCCGCCCCGTCCCCGCGCTCGTCGCCCGCCGCCTCGCAACAGAGGCTGGGCTCCGAGTCGCCTCCATCTGAGCCGCGCGACACGCCCTCGCCCAACTCGCACCTGCTGCGCCCTGACCGCTCCCCCGACCCCCACCCCGACGCTTTCCCCCACATGGCCGACGGCAAGCAGGCGCACGCCAAGGCGGCAGAGCTCAGCGGCGCCCAGGCCTCGCTGGAGGAAGCCTCGCAGCCCGCCGCCGACAAGCCTCGGAGGCAGAGTCTCAGCGCTAACGATGACTTCATTGCGTTCGGCGACATTGGGGAAGAGGGCGAGGGCGAGGCGTCGACCGACGGCTCTGGGGACAGGAATGGCGACGCAAATGCTGCTGCCGCAGCGCTGGGCAATAGCAAGAGGAAAAAGAAGAGGAACAGGAACAAAGATAAGGACAAGGACAAGCCAAAGACAATCAGCTTGTCCGCGACGCAAAAGACCAAGATTCTGGGCTACGAAAAAGACCTTGCCGAAGAGTTCTTGCAGACTGAGCTGGACACGCTGTGGTCCGAGGCGCAAAACAAGCCCAAGGACTGCCATGTGGCGTTAGTGCGCATGCAGATTCCCCAACGTGCTGGGAAGAAGGGCACACATAACCTTGTGCCAAAAGATCAGCTCAGAAAAAGCTTCTACAATTGGGCTGGCACACATGTGCACACGGATCTAGTAGGCCTCTTTGAGGACCAGGCGGGCGAAGGCTCGCCCGAGATCAACATGCTGCTTTTGTTCAAGAGCCCGGAAGGCGCGTCGGAAGTGCACCAAAAAATTGCCTCCTCCCCTCCTGTTTTCACCATCACTGAGGATGGGAGCACCAAGAACATTGACATTGCTGTAAGCGTGTCCGGAGAGGACGCAGCAAGGGAGCTGATGTACAAGGGGGATAGCAGCGGCAGAATCGCCGTTCGTGCTTTCGCCTCGGGCAAGGCAGATGTTGTGCAGTCCTTAATTCTTAATGGTAGTCTGAAGATTGGAGACTACCCAGGGCTTCAAAACGAAAGGAAGAGAAAGAAGATCAACGACATAAAAGAGCCGAAAAATGCCACCGCCCAAGGATCCGCAGAGTCTTCCGCAGCCTCTGAGGGGCAACAGCAAGGGGCATCAGGAGCACAAACGCCCGCAAGTGCGCTCTCTGGCACCGCCGCTTCGACAAGTGGTGCTCAGAACGGGGAGCAAGCTTCCGCGGATGAGGTCATAGACCTCACTGGGGGCGAAGAAGGCGAGTTACTTGGCCAAGCCGGCCAGATGCTGCGCACTCAAATGGCGGATCTGTCATCGGAAGAGCGTGAGCTCCAGACTCGCTACTTTGGCGCTTTGAAGGACAGTGATTCAGTTCACTGCTTGACTTGCGGATTGCTTGAACACATGTCCGAGGTCTGCCCTTCGAGGATATGCAAGCACTGTCGGGCCGTCGACGTGCACACCTCAGGTGCATGCCCGACGATGAGCAAGTGCACGAAGTGCCGTGAGCGAGGCCATCAGAAGAAAAACTGCCCTTCCAAGCTTGCGCGATCCAGCGCGGACGGCTTCGTCTGCGATTTGTGCAAGGAAAAAGGCCATATCGAGGAGGAATGCGCTCTCTTGTGGCGCACATTCATCCCAGAGAAGGTCCCCAACATCCACAAGGTAGCCATGCTAACCGTCACATGCTACCAATGCGCCTCAGACAGACACTGGGGCGACGACTGCCCTATGCGCCCGCGTAGGGCGTACTTCAACACCGACACCTTCTCCGCCAAGCAAGCCAATAAATACCTGATCGACCCGCAGGCGGCGGCACAAGAGCGCAACGCCGGGGGCATCTCGATCAAGGGGCGCGCCGAGAACAACGTCATCAACCTAGACAGCGACGACGAAGATGACGCCGACATGGCCAACTTCTATGGCCGGAAAGCGCCCGCCCACGGTCCAGTGCGCGGCAGCATCCGCATCAACGCGAGCGGTGGGCGTGGTGGCAACGGCGGTGGCAACGGAGCGGCCCGCGGCCGGCCGTCTGGCAACAACGCGCCGCCCATGGGCCGCTACGAGACGCGCAGGCCTCGCTCACGCTCCCGCTCCCCCATGCCGCATGGCGGTGGTGGTGGCTACGGCTACCGCCAGCGTGACGACGGCGGCGGACCGAAGTCGAAGCAGTCGGGCCGTGGCTGGCAGCCTCCACTACCGAATGAGCCGCTGCCGCCTATGCCGGGTGGACGGCGTGGGGGTGGTGGCGGCGGCAGAGGCCGTGGCGGTGGGCGCGGCGGGAATGGAGGCGGACGCGGCGGCAGGGGTCGTGGGCGTGGCAGGTGATAGAAGGGTTGGGTGGTAGTGGACGGGGCAATGCCTAGCTATCTCAAAACAAGCAGGTTCAGTATACCACCTGCAGGAAAAAGAAATAGGGCCGGATAACTGGCCCAGCTTACTCCACGTGATACACGACTATAAAAGTATGTATTACTTGAAGTTTATGCCTTGGTGTCTTTCTAGATACCTTTATACCCTAGCACCTTTTCAACCTTTATATTCCTACCCGTCATCCACTGACCTGATGGTAGCTTCTTGTAGCTGCCTGATGATTGTTCGGCGGGTATAGTGGAGCTTCCATACTTAATATGTGGTTGACAGACGGGCAAAATAAGCAAAAGCGTGGAAGCAAGGGCGAGGCAAGCCTTGTGCTAGCATGACGTACGGGGGCGCAGGCGATACATCCGGGGCAAGGCGAAACATATGTCTCGACTCAAGGCTCGCCGCTTCCCTGTTGTCTGCAGATCGCGCGCGCGGGCCAAGCGACGTCGGGTGGGTGGGAAGGTGCGTCATGCCATCGTAGGACAGATGGATGCATGAACGGAAGTCACGCTTGAGGCTATAAGTACCGGTTGCTCTTCTTCTTCTTCTTCCTCTTCCTCTTCATCCAACTCTCCCTCTGTCTTCTTTGCTACAGCACACCTTTACCATCAACTTGCTTCACCTGTACTATTGTTCCATTTCACTGCTGCATTCCAATACCTCAACATGTCTGGAAACACTGTCCTCAGCAGCTCGTTCTTGACCCCTACTCGTGTCGAGCGCGTCCACAACCCTTCTTATCAACGTTCGGGGTTGAAGTCGTACGTCTACGCTATACGGAAGTGTAAGTCCATCCTGGTGCCTTATCTTCGCCTCTCTGGGAGAAAGATGAGCACTTGGAGAACGACGGTTCTTATGCATGTCATTGTTCAGCTCGCTGACGCATGCCAGACAACATCGGCCCTACCATGGACGGCCCATATTTCTGTTGCAACAAAGTTCACCAGCAAGGAAAACACGGCGTTGGCCGCCACATCGGCGGACGCGCACTCGTACAGCAACATGTGCTTCAGAAGCGTGTCGACGCCCAGAACAACGCGGGAGAGGTCACGGTTGAAGACCAGCAGAACGATTCCGAGTATCTTTGCCGCGTGACCGTCGGCACTCCTGGCCAGACTTTCCTGCTCGACCCTGACAGTGAGTCCCTGAATTGCTTTCTTTTCCCTTGATTACGACTAATGCATCTGCAGCCGGAAGTGCCGACCTGTGGATCCCTTCCAACAAACTGCCATTTAATGCGCGTACGCATGGACACACCTACTTTGATCCCAGCAAGTCAAGCACCTACAAGCAGACGAAAAGCACCTGGCGTATCCAGTATGGAGACCAGTCCAGCGCATCTGGCATTGTTGGCACCGATAATGTCAAGATCGGTGGCATAACTATCAAGAATCAGGCCGTTGAGCTCGCCACCCAGCTCTCCTCACAGTTCGTGACCGGCGTCACTGACGGACTCCTGGGTCTCGCATGGGGCAACATCAACACTGTCCAGCCGCACCCTGTTGCTACCCCTGTCGAGAACATGATCACACAAGACGACATCCCCAAGGGCAGCGAGCTGTTCACAGCCCATCTTGGCAGCTGGCGTGACAAGAACGAACCTGATCAGGGCAAGAGCTTCTACACGTTTGGCTACATTGACCAAGACGTGCTGAAGGCTTCGGGCGTGGACCCTTACTACGTTCCCATTGACAACTCTCAGGGCTTCTGGCAGTTCAATTCGGCCTCTGCGACCATCAACGGCACGACCATCCAGCGCAGCGGTAACACGGCTATTGCTGACACCGGCACCACTTTGGCCCTTGTCGATGACGACACAGTGGTGGCCATTTACAGTGCCATCCCCGGCTCTCGGTACGACTCGTCCAACCAGGGCTTTATCTTCCCGACCAACACCCTGGTGAATCAGCTTCCTGATGTAACCTTCGCCGTCGGCGACAAGCAATTCACAGTCCAGAAGGAAGACCTTGCGTTTGCCAATGCTGGCAACGGCATGGTGTATGGTGGCATCCAGAGTCGCGGCGATTTGCCGTTTGACATTTTGGGTGACACGTTCCTCAAGGGCATCTACGCGGTAAGTCGCCGTGCTTTCATCCCGTCACGTCATACTGCTGGAGGCTGTGCTAACAGGACCTTTTGCTTTAGATATTCGACATGGGTAACAAGCGTTTCGGTGCCGTGCCACGTGTGGAAACCGAGCAGAACCTTGCGGCCCCACAGTGATAGAGGGTTGGTTCGAAGGTCCATACCTTACTGCATGTGGCTTTGCGGGTGTTTGGGTGTCGTTGGGCAGGTTCCGGGTAGCACAGCAGACGACATACACGACTGGATGAATTAATGAGGGCATGGGCACTTAGATAGCAAACATGGATTCCTGAACAAACCTTTCCGATTCTTGGTGCATTTGGGCTTTGTGTGTGTGTGTGTAGTAGGCGGCATCTACTTAGAGGTAAAGATGCTGGAAACATGAGGTTGGAAGGGAGGTGAAGTGATTGAATATCGCCCGAACGTCTTTCCATGCTTGCCTATACTTCGAGAAGACTATGACAAGATTGCTCCTACTTTTCTACTTACATTTCTCACCATCATAGTAACTCATATTTTCTAGATACTCTCGTACATTGGGTATTGATACCTTTTACCTTAGTCAAGTAACGTCCCTCACTGGCAAGACTCACTTACACACTGGTTTGCAAGCATATTCAAAAGAATGAGGATGGGTAGGATATTTATTTTATGATTTTTTGGCTTGGTCATGTTTAGTGTCCGCGCGCAACTCCTGAATCCCAAACTCCAACCAAACCAAACCAACCTGGACGCCGCGGCTTAAAGAACGAAGAACAGAATCCGGCCTCCCACGCTAGAACGCACAAACGACAGCCTCGCCGCTACTCCTACCTAGGAAAACAAACGTACATGGGCGTGTGTAGACGAGGTGTGGTGCTACGCCCTTCCTTTGCCCTTGCCCGAAGACTTCAGCCTTGCCTCGTCGTCGTTGTCCTCACTGTCGCCGCTCAGATCCGTTACGAACCCATCATCGCTCCTCTCTCTGCCCTTGGCTACGGCGTCCCACTCGCCATCGCCATCGCCCTCAGCCTCAGCATCCCTCATCTGAGCATCGCGTTCCCCTTCGCCCTCTCCCTCTCCCTCGCCCTCGCCCTCGCCCCCTCCTTCTCCCCCTTCCCTCGCAGGCGCGTCCTCCTTAAACTCTTGCACCGCGCCCTTGACCGCCCCGCCAGGCCCGCTGTCATCGACGCCGCGCCACGCGGGCGGGCCCCAGCCCGCGTCCGAGTCGGCGCCGCTCGCCGTCTCGCCCCGCACCGCCATGTCGCGGATGTCGCTCCAGTACTCGAGCTTGCGGCACTCGGCGTCGGCAGCGCGCAGCGCTTGCAGCAGGTGGTCGTGGTGGTCCTCGTGCTGCTGCTGGTTCTCGGACGAGGCCGCTGCTGCGGCTTGCGAGGCGCGGTCGAAGCGCTGGAGCAGCAGCGAGAGTAGGTTGCGTCGCGAGTTTTGGAAGACGAGGAGCGACATTATGGCGGGCATCTGGGGATGTGTGTTAGTGTGTTGTTGCTTTTGTTTTTTCTGGGGTTGGTGGGGTGATTGGTGTACATACCTGCTCGGCGAGATAGAAGATCTCGTCGCCGCCTTGGTCGAGGAAGCGTCGCACCGCGACTATCTTCTCCCGGTCGACAGTTGCTTTCTTGAGGTGGGCCATGAGCGTGGGCACGTTGGGAATGTCTTCCTCAATCTCCTCGCCCTCTTCGTGTAGCTGGAAGCGTGCGCTAGGCCATCCGCGGGTCTGGCTGCTGCTCCGGCTCTTGGTCTTCGGCGCGTGGATGGTGAAGTAGTCGCCATTGAGCATGTGTGCATCGCTCATGCGCTTCGGATCCAGATTCTGTCCCTCCGTGCCGTAGATGCTATGCTTGCGGACGCGCTTGCGCAGCCACCGCCGCCGCCGCACGAAGGAATGGAACCAGGGGTGTGTGCCGTGCCAGGCCACGCTGCGCTGGAACGAGAAAGAGTATTCCCAGCCCTCTTCATCGACATCGTACGACATGTCGACGTACCATGACTGCCACGCCCATTCCCAACTTGGGTCCGGCACCGACGCGTTTGTGATATTGACGGGGCTCGGCTTGTGCTTGCCATTCTCCCAGGGCGCCGGGTCGAAGTTGAGCAGCGACTTGGACGAGAAGAGCGGGATGCCGAAGAAGAACGAGCCGCGCTGGTTCTCGTAAAGCACGTCGACGACCGCGTCTTCGTCCTTGGCCTGTTTGATGGCTTTCCGCGAGTTCAGCAGCCCTCTGACGCGCCGTCTCCCGTGCTCGACCTTGGACTTGGCGCGCGTGATGCGGCTCTCTGACCCGCTGCTCGCCTCGGGGTTGTCGTCCCATTCGCCTATGTGCACACGGGCACCCTTCGAATCGACCTGGACGCGGTCACCCGCCGTACTGGCTTCGCCGCCGTCCGGCTCGAATCGCTCTTGCTGCCACTTGGCGTACTTCTGCCTTGCCAGCCCTCGCTTCGCCATTTCCTCCCTCAATGATTCCCGCGTGCGTCGCTTCGTAGGCTGAGAGGGCTGCGCGGAAGCGGGAGAGGCTGTGCCGGACGAGGAAGGGGGGCTCGGCGGCGGGGCGTCGTCGTCGGCCGTGTTGTCGAGGAGTTGGATCTGGTGAGCGATTTTGGCGGCGTCGGGGTCGGCATCATCGCGGCCAGAGTGGCTCAGGCCCGGGATAGACATGATTGAAGGAGAAATATGGTCGTGAGAAGACGTTGTTCACGTTTCACGGTCGGGGAGCGCGGACGATATAAAAAAAAGGTATTAATGTGCTGTCTCTGCTGGCGGGTGGGGAAAAAACATGTGTCAGGCTCAAGGGGCCACACGAGATGGGGAAAGGCTACAATATTGACATGATGGACAGTGGGAAGAAGCTGCGATGAGCAGGTAATCTTAGGTGGCGCTAGTTAGAAGAGCGAGTTCGCAACGAGAGAGAGAGCTTGGTCGGCGCGTGTGTGGCTTGAGGCGCCGCAAGCGTCATTGAGTGGAAGCTGCGACCGACGTCATCACCTGCAAGGCCGACGGCACACCCTCTTTAAACCGCCGCCAAGGTACTTCCTCGTACACTACTCTCTCAATCAATCAATCCTCCATTTCCTCCGAGACATCACACAATGGCTTCCCGCGGTGCATCCCGTCCCCTCGTCTTTGGTGGCCTTGCCGCCGCCGGTGGTGTCGGCTACTACCTCTACCAAGCTGGTGGCAGCCCCAAGCTCGCCGAGAAGGAGTTTGAGCGTAAGCATGCTCCCCCGCACTCACTTTGCCACGCCCATGCCGTACCTGACACGTCTCCAGATGATGCTGCCAAACTTTCGTCCAAGTTCAAGGGCGAGCTGCCCGGCAAGGAGAAGGAGGCAAAGACTGGCGCAAAGGTCTACGCCGAAGAGGCCGGCCAGAAGTTCGATGACGCGGTGAGTGATGACGCCAAATATGTGATTGCGACGGCGGGTAGCACGATTGCTGACATTGTTCGGAACTGCATAGATCGCTCAGGCCAAGGCTACTACCAATCAAGTAGACGCGAAGCTGGAGGCGTACCGCGCTCAGGCTGACAAGAAGATTGGCGAGTACCAGAAAGAGGTGGGCAAGGACTTCCACAAGGCCGTCGACCAGTTTGACAAGACGGTCGAGGAGAAGGCGGCGCAATCCAAGAGCTGGCTGTCGGGCTGGTTCAAGTAAAGGAAGCGCGCAATTGAACGACGACTACGCAGTTACGCAAGTGATGGGAAAATGCTTGTTGGAGCAGTGGGTTCTATTTTTGTAATCGATAGCCCGTCAAGTTTTTACTAATAACATTCTGTTCAATGACCATGGATCTTCAGGCTAATGTCGTGTGTCGAGTAAAGTGCATTTCTTGTCTGAAGATGGGCGCGATGGTGATCTAACGGCTTGAACGGGAGCCTTGGCCGGCTGGTGCAACAGCGCCGCCGCGGGGGAATGTGGCGGCCATGTGAGAGTGGGCGGAGGCGGCCAACCCTGCTCCTGCGTTCGTTTGTGGAAGCAGCCACCCGCGATGCTTTCGAGTCACCCTTCCTGCCTTTCATAACTAACACTCACACTTATATATATTCACCTCCTTCCCCCGCTGCCATAATCCTCCCCCACTCTCCACCTTTCTCTCTCCCTCTCCCTCTCTGTCTCCATAGGTTACAGCAACCTACGATGAAGTACATCTTAGCCTGTTTCATGGCCGCTGGCCTTATGGCCTCAATTGCCTCGGCCCGTTCCGTTCTCGCCAACTTCCATGTACGGCTTTGCTTGCTCCTTTGCCCTACCGACGACTCACTGACACTCTTTTGCAGATGGCCAATGCCGAGACCTACACTCCCGAGACCTGGAAGTCCGACATTGATGCTGCGATATCCATGGGAATCCAAGGATTTGGCAAGCTTACCTTTTCTCTTGCTTTCCCTCGAGAAAACTGACGCGCGACTTTAGTTCTCCAAGTTGTTCCTCCGGACTGTCTCCAGACTGAAGACCGTCACTGGCAGTTTGATCAGATGCACGATGCTGCCAATGTAGTCGAAGAACGCCAGACCAAGGACTTCCAGCTTGCGCTATCTTTCGACATGTCCTATGCCTTCCGTACTGAGAATTGCCCGACTAACAAGGCCTGGGATGTCGCCACGATGACATACATAGTCAAGGAACAAGACAAGCGCAGCTCGTCTTACCGCTGGAACTCCAGTGTTCTAATTATGACCCACGAAGGCGGCCTCTACGGTGGTGGATTCTTCAAGCAGCTCGCGGACGAACTTGCTGAATACGATATTGACCCTACCTTTGCACCATATGTCAGTTCCTACTCCGTCGCCGCCAGCAAGAGCAGCGACCCAGATACCTCTGCTCAGCGTTTCTTCAGCGATTACTCTGACCCCACTGTTTCTGGCTACTTCAACGGTCTTGCTTGGCCCAACAATGTTCGAGAGAACATAACTTGCTTTGTTGATACAGCTTTCAAGGACGCTATCGAGGAATCTGCTCACAAAGGCCCCTTTATTATGGGCGTTTCTCCTTGGCAGTACGAGAATCTCAACACGCCCAACCCTGCTGGTAGTTGGGTTCAATACTCCGACACTCTCTATAGCCACCGCTGGAATCAGGCCATCACGGACGTTCAGCCTGACATCGTTAATATCCTCAGCTGGAACGATTACATTGCTTCCACTTATCTCCGCGAGGTCCCCGAGAAGACTGGACCTGGATCCGTCGACCTTGGCGAGCAAGGCAATTATGTCTATGGCATGAATCACACGGCTTGGGGTGCGATGACCAAATACTTCAGCAAGGGTTACATGACCGACAACAACAAGCCCGAGATCACTGACAATGATCTGATCTACTGGTATCGTACTCATCGCAAGGACGCTACTTGTAAAGGCGGCAGAGCTTCTGCTAGCACGCCCGTTCGCAACTCCGACTTCGTCAATGACTCGGTCTTCATTTGGGCCAAAATTCGCTCTGCTGTCACTGTCGAAGTCTACTTCGGAACTGACCCCAAGTCCCGGTCCGAGCGTCCTGGTACGCCCCGCGTTACCTTCGACACTACCGGTCAAACCGAACCCTTTCTCCTGGAGCTGCCTTTCCCCGATGATTTCCCTGCCAATTCCAGCGACAAGTTGTATCCCCAGGTCGTTGTGAACCCCGATCGTATCGCCTATTCCAAATATGACAGTGTCCCCATCACCGGCGAGTGTGATTGGGAGAACTTCAATGCTGTCGTGCAGAGTCTGGGTTCTGATTTCAACGATTTGTTTTAGAGTGACGGACGGCATGGTATTGCCGAGATTATTTCCAAAAGCACAAAATGGGGCTCGGGGTGAAAATCATTGTAAAAGTAGATAGATGCGGCTTTGATGCCTGTCGATCGAGACCCCTATAAATTCAAAACCCGTTCTGCGTTCAACGGCCGTGCATCACGCGTGCCCTGCCTGCCAGTCTCCGGTACTTTTTGGGGACGCTGATTCCAAATAGCACGCTGCCACATGGCTGATGGATTTCTCCATTGCACAATGCAGCCGTCCGCCCCGTAACTGGCGTTGCCCCGCCTGTCGTCCGTCCCACGTCCCGGCCTGTCGCGCTCGGAAGCCGCATGCATGCAGGCATCCGCGCCACAATTCCCCCCTCATCCCGCCCGCCAAGCCACGACTAGGGGCGGCTCGTCCCGAGCACCCTGGCCGTCTGACTGTCCGCTTGCGTTCCTGCTGTCCTCGACAGCGCCAGCGATAGCGACAGCGACTTGAGCGTCGCAGCGCGTCCATGGCGCTAGCTAGGATCGAGGCGCGTGTAGCGGCGGGATTTAGGTGTGCGGGTGGGGTGTCTCCACCCCGGAAACCGGGCAGTGAAGCGGGTTTCGACGGGCGAGCGAGCGAGCGAGCGGGTAGGCGATGTGATGGCGATGGCGACGGCGACGGGGCGCGTGATGGTTGGTGGGGTTTGTAACTAGGTAGTGGCTGGCCGATTGGTGGGTGGGTGGGTAGGTGGGAGATAAGCGTGCAGTACGCGCTTCGAAGCGCCAGCGCTCCTGGGATTCCGTTCCGTCTCGTTGCTCCAGCTTTATCTTCCGTTTGAACAGGCCGTCGTTCGTGGTGGTGGGTTTAGTGCTCAACTTCTTGATGAAATGCAATGCGGCGGCCGTCTCTGGTCTAACTTTTTAGTTTCCTTCTCTTTTCTTTCCTTTCCTTTCCCTTCCTTTCCTTCGCCTCTTCTCTTCTTCTTCTTTCCTGCTATCTTTCTTTCGTTCTTTTCCTCGTCCTTCCCTCTCTTCTCCCTCTTCTTCTTCCCTCCGCTAGGTATCGGCCCAAAGAAACAACTCCAGCCTGGGGGTATCATTTTGTGGTAAACAAGCAACAGCAACACCAACAGCAGCAAACAAACCACGACCGTCTGTAAAAAAACAAGGGCAGCCATCAAGAAAGGCCTCGCAGCCCTTTTCCAGAGAAACCAAAAAGAAAAAGAAATGCAAAAGCACGAAGAAACCGCACTACCGCGCACGGGACACGAGTAGCGCACTACCGCCGTTCAGCAAGCTCGTGCGCCTCGCCTCCGTCCTTGAAGGGGTTGGGCTGGTGCCGCGATGGCGGGACATAGACGCTGCCGGGGCTGAAGGGCGGCGGTGGCGAGGCCGGCATGGGCGGCGCATAGTACTCGCCGGGCACGGGGCTGGGGTTGGCGGAGCTGATGGCCACGGCGTATGTGTCTTTGACGCGGGCGGCGCGGCGCGAGCGGTGATACATGACGGCGGCGTAGATGAGGAGGCCGCAGTACATGAAGCTGTTTGGTGGGGAAGTGGGGTTAGCAGATGGGGTTTTTTTTTTTTTTGGTTAGGGTTGGATTGGTTTGGTGTGGGGTTGCTTTAGTGGGTGGGGCAGGCAGGGTGGGTTGGGGCCGCGTACAAGACGATGAAGGCTGAGACGACGGCCGTGCCGCTTTGTAAAAGGGCGGCGCCGATGAGTCCCAGGACAAGCACGACGAACCAAAACGTGGTTTGCGCGATGTTGATGATAAGGAAAGTGCGGGGGTTGAGGGAGCGAAGGCCGTAGAGAACGATGGAAGCAATATCGAGGACCAAGCAGAGAATTAAACAGGCGAAGAATATTGATAGGACGCTAGTATGGTTAGTCTGGCGGTACTGGTGGGTGAACAAGGGAGAGAGTCCTCACGCTATTGAACCGGTGTATCCGTCGCCATGATGTCGGAAGTCGTTGTTGTCGTCGGTTGCTCTGCTCAACAGCAAAAGCAAGACGGCAAAGGTGGTGACGACAATGGCGACGAAGAAGATGCGCACGCCCCAGAAAGGAAAGAGAATGCGCTTGCGCCATGTTGGCTCTACAGACCCTTCAAGCGGCATCTTGAGTGGCTGGGACGCGGAGGAGTTGGTTGGTTGAAGGGCGCCACAGCAGCACTCAAGATAAAAGGAAAGGGATCGACAAGGGCTAAAGGCGGAAAAAAGATGAGAGCAGGCATGATGCTCATATAGGAGGGCGGCCCGCCGGCCTTACCTGCAGGGTGGCTGAGGCTCAGCTGTCTTCCATTGTGACAGTCAGCCCCAGGGCAGGCATATCCACGCTCCGGGCGACCCCTTGGCGGGAGAGTTATGCGTTCTTCCCGCACTCTAATCTCGCCATGGCCGTTCGTTGCACGAGATTAGCAGGGCACTAGCTCGGTTGCAATTAGCGCACCTTAAGCGCGGTCTTTATGGCTGATTGTTGGCTTGCGCTGCAGTTGATGATTGACGGACCAGCCCGTGGCTGTTGTCGATTGTTTTGCCGAGTCTCGGTCCGGCAGGGATCCTTCGCGTGGCATTGCGACTTGGCGATCATCTGCACTGCCCCAAATATGGGGAAATATCTTAATCTTGGGGTTTCCTTTTCCTCTGTACCCGTCTGCAGATGCTTTGCTCTTTGGGCCGTCGTCCGCGTTGTGGTGTGAGTCGTCCAGTTGCCTGCTCAATATATCTCCGTCCGGCATTGAGCCCTGTCGGAGATTCGGCGCGCCGGCAAGACGTACCCCGCGACCCGGTCTCTCCCCTTTTGCGTATACATCCATCTCCTATATTCCTTCTTGGGAGCTGCAATCAACTGCAAAAGGATATTGGATCTCTATTGACCTCCTATACCAAGCCCCCAGCACTGCCCGGAGCTTGAACATCCCCAGAAGCGAAATCTCACTGTGCGTGCGCGCCTCCATATAGCTACACCTCGTGCGCACGGCCCGTTGGGCTGATTTCTAGAACCATTTCCATTTCCGGGATCCCATCTCGACTTTTTTTTTTTTTGCAGACTGCCTTTTCGTCAGCTCGTCGCCACATCGACCGTCTGCACAGTAATCCGACGGCCTTGCCCGTCATCGATACGGCCGTATTGCCGTCCGGAAGTAGGTACTGTGGGAACTTGGCCCAGTGATGACTATGTTCCTTGCTAGTTGGTTCCCATCGGTGGTGTTGACCGAGGATTGTCCAGAGAATACGGGACGGATGTGTGCGGGAGAGGCAAGACTTCTGGCGGGTTCGTCGGAACCCCGACCTTGTTTCGGCCGTCTTGACTCTTGAGACGTCTCACGCCGATTTTTGACCGTAGCCTACGTCCGGGGAAGCTGTCATAGGCCGTAACAACGGTTGCTTCGCGCGACTTTTTAAATGATCCACGGGTTTTGCAGAGAACATCCATATCAACCATGAGGTCATCATCACATCTCCATCATGTTGGATTCCAGTCTCTTTCGCGTAAGGTTTCGCGCGTCTTGCTACACCAGACACCCATGTGAGACAAACTGTAGGAAGCAGAGACAAGGGAAGAAAGGGAATTTGAAAGCAACCATACAGGGCAAAAGCACCGGCATCCGTCAAGCCGTGCTTGCTTGCCTCATTGAAAATCGATGCACGTACGTGCAAATCATCACTTTCCATCAGAAGATGAGGTTTTCTCGGCCGTCGACCGTTGCGCACGTTCCGGGTAAGCGACATGACTGTTTCAAGGCTGTAACATGGATGCCGATCCCGCTTGCGCAACGCTTTCCACGTCGGTCAAGCCTGCTGACAGTGTCAGCGGGACGGTAGCGACCGTTGTCCCGACGGAAAGGAGAGGGATGGTGGTGGAGAGGACGAGAAGCGCGCCGGACGTTCTTCGCCGCAGGGCCGGCGGGGCTAGGGAGCGGGACCGAGACGGACTGTGCTGGTCAAATGCAGAATGCAGGTGCCCGCTTTGACATTCTCGTCATCACTTCACACCCACACCCACTCGCCTCCACACTCCTTCATCCTTGTGCGAATACGGCTCCAGGAACTTCGTGCTCGCTGCTCTACTGTCCCTCTCCGCTGCCCCCTCGGCTTTACTCGATCGAGCGAACGACATCGCCGAACGCCGCGGACCCCACCTTGCTCGCCCCGCAATCCGAACAGCTCCTCTCCCACCACTCGCCACTCGTTGGTAGTCGGACAAGACCGCCTTCCCTCCAGTAAAAGCAAGGACCGACCAACATGGCATCCACGGCAGCTGCAGCTGGTCTGCTCGGCCGTCAGCTCAAGCAGATGCAAACGGACAAGGATATCCCGGGCATCAGCTGCGGTCTCATGGACAACAATGTGTTTGAGTGGGAGGTTATGCTCATGATCAGCGATGAGTGCAAGTTTTACGGCGGTATGTGCGCTTTGTCTTTTATCTCTGGAGAATAGTGCCATATTGACTGAACTCAGGTGGCTTCTTTCGCACGCGCCTCTCTTTTCCGCCGGAATATCCGCTTTTGCCCCCAAAGATGAAGTTTGAAACACCCATCTTCCACCCTAACAGTATGTTTCCTGCAACCGTCTATGCGCGGTTTTCCGGTCACCGCTAACAAATACCAGTCTACCCCACCGGTGAGGTCTGTATTTCTATCCTCCACCCTCCCGGTGAGGACAAGTACGGCTACGAGTCTGCGTCGGAACGCTGGTCCCCTGTCCAAACGCCCGAAACTATCCTCCTTTCCGTCATCTCCATGCTCTCCTCACCGAACGACGAGAGCCCTGCAAACGTCGAGGCGGGAAGGTTGTGGCGCGATGACCCGAAGGAGTTCAAGAAGCGCGTCAGGAAATGCGTCAGAGACAGCTTGGAGGAGGGCATGTAAAGGGAAGCACCAAGAGCTTCGTTAGGTTTGCAGTTTCGCCAAAAGGCACTCCGCTTTCGAGCCGAGGTGGGAGGCAATGGCGTAGTGTACATAGGGATTACGGTTACATGCATGGCTCGGAGTTTTCAGGCATCATGACGAGATATTTGAGCTTCTTATTTCATGAAAAAATGACAAGCAAATGGAGGTTTGGGTTACCTTTGACCAACGACAGAGACCGTGTCCATAATCTTGGGTCACGGAAGACGAGTGTCACTGTTATTTGTATCCCCATGGTGAGTAATACTCCGTAGAAGCGAAAGTTTATCAAGACTCTCCGGGTCAAACGGTTATAAAGATACTCTGATCAAAATCATATAGCTCTTGTGACTGGATTTATATGTCCCATGGACTACTTCTTAGCTAGATACAGAGCCTGCGCTCGTAACTAAATGAGTATCTCATGGAGGCTTGTAAATTTCCACAATATCTACCCCTCTGACCGTCATAGCAGTGTTCGTGATTTTGGTAGGCGGGACATGATTGCTAGCATGCTCCTTTGGGTAGGCGGTGAATCGCGCGTCGATCCAAGCCGCGTCGCGAAAGCCATTGCCTAAAGAGTACCTCGTCCTACTTCCGCAACACCTCACCACCCTTTACCTCCAAATTCTGCGCGCCCGACGTGCCGATCGCCACAACCATCCACGCCATCCCCCACAGCTTCGGCGAGCGAGTGGATTCGGCGCGCAAACCACCAGAACCTCACCGAGACATTAATTTGTAGCCCAAACGGGCAATATGGCTCCGCGCAACCGCAACTCGGAGGCCATGTCGACTCCCGACGTGTCAATGGTAGACGCGGAACAGGACGAGTACACCGAAGATATGCAAGACACGCCCGACTACACGGTACGCGTCATCGTCCCCGACGCGAAGCGCGACGTCACTGACGTAGCAAGCAGGACACCGACTCAAATCTCAATACCCGCGCCAACAGCGAGGCCGACGACGTGGTTCCCGCAGACGGCCGTAGGCGTCGCTCGGAGGCGTTACAACTTCGCAAGAGTGTTTTTGGTAAGAAGCACGATCGCTTGGGCGAATCGAAGGTAAGGCGCGTCCTGTCGCATCCAGCCCCTCCACGCGTCAGTAGTGGTTGCGCCTGATACTAACCGTACTTTAGGAAGACGATTCAATCAGGCGCTTCCGTTACCTTCTCGGCCTCACGGACCTTTTCCGTCACTTCATTGATACCAACCCGAACCCTCGCATCAAAGAGATCATCGCGGAGATCGACCGTCAAAATGCCGAGGAGGAAGCAAGAGCTAAGAAGGGAACGGCTAGGAAGGGCGGCGCTGGTGCAAAGCACAGGAAGACCGAGCAAGAGGAAGACGCGGAACTCATGCGCGAGGAGAAGCACGGTGCCGGCGCCGAGACGACCATTTTCCGGGAATCGCCTCCCTTCATCGAAGGCTTAATGAGAGACTACCAAGTCGCAGGTCTCAACTGGCTCATTTCATTGCATGAGAATGGTATCTCTGGTATCCTTGCCGATGAGATGGGTCTGGGCAAGACTCTGCAGACAATATCCTTCGTAGGTTACCTACGCTTTGTCCGCGGTATCAACGGCCCCCACCTGGTTGTCGTACCGAAGTCCACTCTGGATAACTGGAAGCGTGAATTCGCCAAGTGGATTCCGGAGATCAACGTCCTTGTGTTGCAGGGCGCCAAGGAGGAGCGCGCCCAGCTGATCAACGAGCGTCTTGTTGATGAAGGCTTCGACGTGTGCATCACCAGTTACGAGATGATCCTTCGAGAGAAGTCGCATCTTAAGAAGTTCGCCTGGGAGTACATCATCATTGACGAGGCTCACCGTATCAAGAACGAGGAGTCCTCATTGGCACAGATCATCCGAGTCTTTAATTCGCGCAACCGTCTGTTGATCACCGGCACGCCGCTTCAGAACAACCTGCACGAACTCTGGGCACTCCTCAACTTTTTGCTGCCTGATGTCTTTGGCGATTCTGAGGCCTTTGACCAGTGGTTCTCAAGCCAAGAGGAGGACCAGGATACCGTCGTTCAGCAACTGCACAAGGTCCTTCGACCTTTCCTGCTTCGTCGCGTCAAGAGCGATGTTGAGAAGAGCCTTTTGCCCAAGAAAGAGATCAACCTGTACATTGGCATGTCCGAGATGCAGGTTCAGTGGTACAAGAGGATCCTTGAGAAGGACATCGATGCTGTCAACGGAGCCGGCGGCAAGAAAGAGTCCAAGACTCGTCTGTTGAACATCGTCATGCAGCTGCGCAAGTGCTGTAACCACCCCTATCTGTTTGACGGAGCCGAACCGGGTCCTCCTTATACCACAGATGAGCACCTGGTCAACAATGCCGCGAAGATGGTTATGCTTGACAAGCTTCTGAAGCGCATGCACGCACAGGGCAGCCGCGTCTTGATCTTTTCCCAGATGAGTCGGTTGCTCGATATCCTGGAGGATTACTCGGTCATGCGCAACTACCAGTACTGCCGTATCGACGGTTCAACGGCGCATGAGGACCGTATTGCCGCCATTGATGAGTACAACAAGCCTGACTCGGAGAAGTTCTTGTTCCTCCTTACCACCCGCGCTGGTGGTCTAGGTATCAACTTGACCAGTGCCGACATTGTTATCCTTTTTGACAGTGATTGGAACCCTCAGGCCGATCTGCAGGCAATGGACCGGGCGCATCGTATCGGACAAACCAAGCAGGTCATGGTCTTCAGGTTTGTTACGGAGAATGCTATAGAGGAGAAGGTTCTCGAGCGTGCAGCTCAAAAGCTTCGTCTGGACCAACTTGTCATTCAGCAAGGCCGCGCTCAGCAGCCGGCCAAGAATGCCCAGTCAAAGGAGGACCTGCTCAACATGATTCAACATGGTGCTGAGAAGGTTTTTGAGTCTCAGAGCGGTACTGGTGCTTTCGGCAATTCCTCGGACCTGAACGATGATGATATCGATCAAATCCTCAAGCGCGGTGAAGAGAGGACGGCAGAACTCAACGCCAAGTATGAAAAACTCGGTATCGATGACTTGCAGAAGTTCAGCACCGATTCTGCGTATGAGTGGAATGGCGAGAACTTCGTCAACAAGAGAAAGGAAATCGGTATCAACTGGATCAACCCATCTAAGCGTGAGAGGAAGGAACAATCCTACTCCATGGACAAGTATTACCGCCAAGCCTTGATGACTGGTGGTCGCACGGCAGATACCAAACCGAAGATTCCCAGGGCACCTAAGCAGATCAGTATCCACGATTACCAATTCTTTAACCCACGCCTAGGTGAGCTTCAGGATAAAGAAACTGCTCACTACCGTAAGGAAAACAATATCAAGGCTCCTCTCCCTGATGGTCCCGAAGAAGAAATGCAGGCTCGTGTCGCTGAACAGGAGCTAGACCAGAAAGAGATTGATGACGCCGAACCCTTGACCGAAGCTGAGAAGGAAGAGAAGGAGAAGCTTTCTCAGGAAGGCTTCCCTGACTGGAACAGGAGAGATTTCCAGCAGTTCATCAACGGCTCGGCGAAGTATGGTCGCAAGAACTACCACCTCATCGAGGATGAGGTTGATGGCAAGACGGCGGAAGAGATTGAAGCGTATGCCAAGGTCTTCTGGAAGAAGTACAAGGACATTCAAAACTGGGAGAAGCACATTGCCGCAATTGAGGAGGGCGAAGAACGCATCAAGAAGATCGAGCGTCAGCGTCAGCTTCTCCGCAAGAAGCTGAGCATGTACCGTGCTCCGCTGCAGCAACTCAAGCTCAACTACTCGGTTTCCACCACGAACAAGAAGGTGTACACGGAAGAGGAGGACCGCTTCCTTCTTGTTATGCTAGACAAGTACGGAGTCGACACTGAGGGCATTTTCGACAAGATCCGCGATGAGATCCGCGAGTCGCCGCTCTTCCGCTTCGACTGGTTCTTCCTCAGCCGCACCCCGGTCGAGATTAGCCGTAGATGCACGACGCTTCTGACAACGGTGGTCAGAGAGTTTGACGGTAGCGATGGCAAGATTGCCAACGGCACGGGCAAGGGCAAGAGGGGACATGAGGACGACGAGGATGAGTCCGAAGAGGATGCTATTGCTCCTGCTACCAAGAAGCGGGCGACTAAGAACGGCGTCAAGGTAAGTTCACATCTTTCTATAATACGACCTCCCACTAACCATTTGATTCAGAACAAGGCTGTCGAGAACGTGAAGGGCGGTGGTAGCAAGGCTACTTCGGTCTCTGCCTCTCGCGCGAGCAGTGTGGCGTCGAATGGCTCCGCACCGTCGGCCAAGCCCAAGACCAAGGGCAAGAAGAAATGAGTTTACCATGCGTGATGTTGCCATTTGCTTCTACGGGATCCGATGGCATGTAGGTTACGCGGCGTTCATGGTGCAATGGGACAATCATAGGTGTGACCTTTGAGGTCGTGTGAAAAGCCAGTATGGCTAGATTGCTGGCTGGGAATGATTGGTTGCTTTAGATTTTTCTTGTTGCTGTGTACTCATAGAAGCATTGGGAGCATTAGGATATCACTAAGTATTAAAAATGCAGGCTGTCTGTCCCTGTGAGCCGTGATCGTGCAGTTGAGGCTTGTTACGATGTTGTGCTGGTCGGCAGCTGAAGATTATTGGGACAATATGGGTATGTTAGACAAAGTCTTGTGTGGTGGTTTGCACACATTTAGCGTCCTAAAAGGAGAATTGCCATTAACCTAGTCAACGCATGGTAGGTAATGTTGGTGGTGATCGGATTGCCCAGGGTCTTGTGGAGAAGTTCGATGGATGACGCGCGACTGACCGTGGCGGGGGGCGTTTCAAGACTTGCCTGACTCTTGTTTTCTCGAACGCTTTGGAAAGTTGTAGACTTAGAACATCCGTCCCAGGGAACACGTTCACCTTCATCCAACTCACAGCCCTATTAATTACTTGATCCAGTTGTAAGCTGCATTCACTCCCCAGATCTCGTGCATACATATACCGCGTATAGTGGCGCTTTCGTTCGGAGACTGATACAAAGGCCAGCAGGAACTGCCACCTACCCCCCTACGCGACACAACCTTTCCACCACAGATTAGGGCTCTCGAACCCGAGCGACAAATCGAGTTCATCTACGCGACCATCGTCAGCTATATCCGCGCCTCGAGTTCCTTCAAAAGACACGACCGTAAATATGTCCAGCACCGCCGTCATCAACACCGACGACGCAATGGAGCCGACGCTCCAGTCGATCCTGGACCAGAAGACGCTGCGGTGGATTTTCGTTGGCGGCAAGGGTGGTGTCGGCAAGACGACGACGTCGTGCTCGCTGGCGATCCAGCTGGCGAAGCACCGCAAGAGCGTGTTACTCATCTCGACGGACCCGGCGCACAACCTCAGCGACGCGTTCAACCAGAAGTTTGGCAAGGATGCGCGGCTGGTGGAGGGCTTCAGCAACCTGAGCGCCATGGAGATCGACCCGAACGGCAGCATCCAGGACTTGCTTGCGGCGGGGGGTGACAGCGCGGAGGAGGCGATGTCGGGCATGGGCGGCATGGGCAACATGATGCAGGATTTGGCATTCAGCGTAAGGCGCACACAGCACACACCAATGAACACATGGCAGCAGAGAGGCGAATAAGAAGAACAAGAGCAAAAAGTGCTGACAGGAGATGCGCGCTACAGATACCCGGAGTGGACGAGGCCATGTCGTTTGCCGAAGTGCTGAAGCAGGTCAAGTCGCTCTCGTACGAGGTCATCATCTTCGACACGGCGCCGACGGGGCACACGCTGCGGTTCCTGCAGTTCCCGACGGTGATGGAGAAGGCGCTGGGCAAGCTGTCGCAGCTATCGTCGCAGTTCGGGCCCATGCTGAACAGCGTGCTGGGAGCGCGGGGCGGGCTGCCCGGCGGGCAGAACCTCGACGAGCTGATGAGCAAGATGGAGTCGCTGCGCGAGACCATCGCCGAGGTCAACACGCAGTTCAAGAACGCCGACATGACGACGTTTGTCTGCGTGTGCATCCCCGAGTTCTTGTCGCTCTACGAGACGGAGCGCATGATCCAGGAGCTGGGCTCCTACGAAATCGACACCCACGCTATTGTCGTTAACCAGCTGCTCTTCCCCAAGAACGACAACCCCTGCGAGCAGTGCAATGCTAGGCGCAAGATGCAGAAGAAGTATCTGGACCAGATCGAGGAGCTGTATGACGAGTTCAACGTGGTGAAGATGCCGCTGCTAGTGGAGGAGGTCAGAGGCAAGGATAAGTTGGAGAAGTGAGTCCACCGGCCGCCGGCCATTGTTCTCTCCCTTTAAAGCAAGCCACTAACACGGATTTCCTCTCCAGGTTCAGCGAGATGCTGGTGAAGCCGTACCAGCCTCCCCAGTAGGCGCGGCGTCGGGATATCACAGAGGAGGCAGGAGTTTACAGAAGCTACGCGGGGGAGGACGGCGTTGCAGACGGTTCTCAGAGAGCATAGCGTGCAGATACTCTACATGATACGTAATTTTTCGAAGCAATCTCGACCACACGCGGAAGTCAACGGATATGGCAGCAGCAGCAGCAGCAGGCGCGCAAGCAGGCATCTCGGCAATGCCATCGTCGTCTTCTTCCGCCAATTTCGTCAGCGCCTTCGACGTCGTCGCCGCGGAGCATCGCCCGCGTTATGGCAGCTGGTGGCGCTCTCGATATATTGACCCTCTTTTCCCCTCTGAGTCCTCTCCTCTCAGCTCCGTCCAGCTCAGCCCAGCCCAGCTCAGCTCAGCAGCACCAAGGCACCAAGCCCAGCCCGGTCCGGTCCGGCTTACATGGTAGCCCGCAGCGTGACCACTCACCCTACCCATGCTCGTACCTTACAGCCAGGGGAAACTCGGATCACGGCAACAGCGCCTAGGGAAGGCTTGCATGGCCTGTACGTATGTGTACACACACATGTCCGGTACCTATGTAGACCCATCCAGTTCAGCTCCCCATGAACCATGAACCATGAACAAGGCCGCGCGCAGCAGCAGCGGCGGCCATCCACCGCGCCCGCCCCGCGCGGCCCGGAGATGTGCCTAACGCGGCATCCCCGCGGGCTGGGCCAGGGCCCCCAACCCCAACCCAGGGGGCAGCAGCGCAGCGCGTGCGGAATACGGATTGCCGATTGGGGGCGGGCAGGCGGGCGGAATATTCGTTCGTATTCTCGGCTTCGAATCGAGGGTGCTGGGACGCACTCAATCTTGGCCTTACCCGTGGCCCCACTGGGGGTTGAGATGCGGCACGGTGCAGGGCTGAGGTGGGTAGTGACTGGTGTTGTATGTGTGGGGTTTGGGATTGATTTTGGGGGTGAGTGTTTGGGTGTTTGATCGGGTGGAATGGATGGAAGAGTCTGGAGGCCGAGGTCTGTATGTATGTAAGATTGTGAAGGAAGCAGAAGGCACAATAAGCAACTTAATCATCATCATCGCCGTCATCATTTAGACGTGCGTGCATGCGGTCCAAGGCCCGTCGTTGACATTTGCAGGATGCAGACGGGGCGCGCCCATCCGGCGCAAGCAACCCAGCCGCACGCGCATCAGGCACGCGCGCAACAAACCGTCTCTCTCTTCTGCTCATCAGTCACAACTCACAAGTCAGACCCCGACGAGGCAAGCCGATCATGACGCGGGTGCGAGCTCGTTGCGACGTCTCGGTTGGAGCAACAAGCTTGCTACCCCACCTCGCGAGGCCCGCCTTACCGTCGAGCCGGAGAATATTGCCTGCAGGGCTTGCTTGCTGACGCTGACGCTTGCTGATGCTGTCGGCGACGATGATTTAAATGGCAATGATTGCCTGCCTCCCCATGTGCCGAGGCGCGCACGCACGCCAGGATGCTCGCATGCAGGAACAAGTACGAGTGACTGGCTGCGTGGCTGTTGGCTGTTTTTCTTTTCCATCGAGGTCGCCGCTAGCTGAGTGATGGGTGATGGGCGAAGGGTACGAGTAGAGAAGGCGTTGCTACTCGTCCAGCCCGTCCAACAAGCCGCCAGGTACCCGTAGTCCTCCGAACGCGGGCGCAGCTGACCATGCCCGACGAGTAATGGCTCCGATGCCACCAGTGCTGAGTCTCAAATCACCTCTCGCAGCGCGCACGCGCACCCCGGCCCGCCCTCGATGTCGAGATCACCATCGGAGCGGGCACGCGCGAGCTTGGAGCCAGCCAGCCTCAACCGCCAGCCAGTCCAGCCCAGCCAGCCAATGAGCCCGTCCAGGACAGCCCCCACGACGACAAACGCGACGACCACCGGTACGAGCTCGCACCACGTCGCCGTCGTGTGTGCCGATTTTCTGTTGGTGCCGCGGTTAAAAAAAAAAAATGAGAGAAAAAAACAAGCACTAACCTAGGTACTCGAACATACCATGCCCTGATGGGTTGTATACGTCGGGAGAGAATCGTCCGACGCTAGCTCTCTGGCTAGCACACTGGCTGGCGGCTGCAGCTGGGTGGATGACTGATTTGCGCCGGAAAAGGCCTGCTGCCCCGCGCCTTGCGTCGATCGCTTTTTTTCTTTTTGAGACTTTTCTTTTCTTGTTGGTTGGGGCCGGGGCCGGGGACTGGGTTGAGGATGGGCTGCGTACGTGCGTGCGTGCGCTGGGGGCTGTTCTGCTGGGGGCGTGGACGCCATGTGTATAAGAGGTGGAGGTGCTGCGCGTGTGGTGGGTGGGTTGCTGCTATTGCTACTTACTACTTACTACTACTGCGGGTTGAGGTTGTAGTTAGGTTGCTGTCGTTGTTAGGCGTGGTTATCCTCCGCTTCTGTACTGCCTGCCTTCTGCGTCGGTCACTTACCTACTGTTCTCTTTCTCATCCTCCCTTGCCTATCTCTCTTCTTTCTCCCGGTCTACGTGAGACGACGCGCTGAAAATGCCGCCTTCTGTCATGTCTCGTCTCGCGGTTGCCTTTTTGGGCGCTGCGGCAATGGTCCAGGCCGCGCCGGCCGCTGCTCCTGTCTCTGCAGGTGTCCAGGTCGAGCGGAGAGGTAAGTTATATCTACGAGCTACACCACTACTTAAACCGGGCCGGTATGCTAACTCGGGCCAATAGCTGTCAGTGACGATCTGCTTGCTACATTTGAGCACGTGCAGCAGTTTGCAGCAGCGTCTTATTGCCCGGTGAACAACAACTCGACCGGCACCAAGCTGGCGTGCACGTCGGGCGTGTGTCCGCTCGTCGAGTCTGCGGATACGGAAACTGTGCTGGAATTTGAAAAGTAAGTGATCTTCTTGTTTGTGTCTTGAATTTATCTTTTCGTTTCTGCTTTCGGCGAGTCTGTCAAGCTACCCGGAGAAGAGTATTATCAAAACAACTCACCAATTCCGCAACATCTACACCAACTCCACACTAAAGGAACCACCGAAACCGTTCGACTAACAGCCTTTCTCTAGCTCCCTCTTAACAGACGTAACCGGCTACGTCGCCGTCGACAAAACCAACTCCCTCATCGTCGTCGCCTTCCGCGGCTCCAACTCAGTGCGGAACTACCTCGCCGACATCAACTTCCCCGCAATCCCGGCAACGGACATCTGCGCATCCTGCACCGCAGACGCCGGCTTCTACACGTCGTGGCGCGAAGCACGGGAGGGCGTTCTATCGGCCGTCGAAAGCGCCATCACAGCCAACCCCGACTACTCGATCATCGCAACCGGGCACTCGCTCGGCGGCGCAATCGCCAACTTCGCGGCGGCAGAGCTGCGCCTCAAGGGCCACAAAGTCAAGCTCTACACGTTCGGGGCGCCGCGCATCGGCGACAGCAACATCAGCGACTTCATCTCGGACCAGGGCGACAACTTCCGCCTCACGCATCTCAATGACCCCGTGCCCCATCTGCCGCCTATTGCGCTCGGCTTCGTCCATATTTCCCCAGAGTACTATATCAGCGTCGAGAACTATGTCGAGGTTACGGCGAATGATGTGACTGGCCCGTTGAATGGCTCTATCAATCTGCATGGGAATACTGGCAAGCTGTTTTTGGATGTCGATGCCCATGGCTGGTATTTGGGTAATATTTCGAGCTGCTACCCGGATGATTTGTTTGAGTTTAGACGCAAGAGGGATGTTGGGTCTGTGGAGCTGCCCGGGCTGTGATGGGAGGCTGGTTTGTGCGTGTGGGTTTTATAAGGTTATAATTTGGGTTGGGGGCGTTGGAGGGAAATCTTTGATACCATTTAATACGCCAGTTTGGCTGAAAGTCTGTTTATGGGTTTGTGTTGCGGTGAAGCAGTGATGAGCCAGGCGGACCCCGGATAGTATGCTCACCTTTTGTTTACTGTGTTGTCCGCTCCTCAATCGTGTATTGAATAGAGTCTACTATGCCCACTGTGTACTTCCGGGGTGATTATAACAATCTATGAAAGTATAAGTATGAAAGAAAAAAAGTTAAACTTTTACTTTTAGGAAAGTGGGTATTACGTAGAGTGGGTAAAACAGTCAAAGTGATGGGCGAGTTATATAAAACCTTTATAAAAGGTCTGTTTAAGCGGTTTGTGCGCCTTATACAGTAGATCCCTGTGGTGGGGCATGACTTAGTAGCAGTAACTGATAAACAGCCACTCTTTTCATCGCGTCCAGAGGCAGCAGCCCTTCCGTCAATACTTTATATATAAGTATATTCAACCTTTACCGACAATGCCAACGGAGCTCCTCTCCTAGCAACCGCGGCTGCAGGTGGAGCTGGCATGAACCTGACAGCAGGATTGGTTAATGGAGCGACTTGGTTCATCCTCTGGAGTATATATCTGCAACAAAAGATCTATAACGTCAAGCATCTTATCAAACCCCTGATAAACACCACCACGAAGCCATGCCACTAACCATCATCACCACAAAGCAGTGACTGTATTGCTGCCACAGTATTTGGCACACAGCAGTTCTAGTGTCGCTGCCATAAGATCTATAACCTAAAATATAGTCGATGAAGTTCCAGAAGACTTCACCATTGCTGAGTAGTGCGTCCAGAGATCCATGAAGTGGCAGGGGTAACTCCATGAATATCGCGCTGCGGATTTCTGTGCTGAATGGTCTCTTATATAGTTTTATTGGATGCTGTTTCGGGTGTACTCGCCAATATATAAAAGTAAGATTAGAGTGGGGGATGGTGAATATAACTGCCGAGTCGACTGAGCCGTTGTGCTATCACTGCTCTGGAATATAGAATAAGTTTCTTATCCCTGCATCGACTCCGGACGCATCTGCATAGCCTTGACCGCAGCCATCAATGCCTCAATCCCTTCATGGGACTGCTGCTCGACGAGTCGCTCCAGCGATCCTTGACTGCCTGGTTAAAGCCTACAGGGCGACTTCGCCTCAACAGAAAGCGAGAGCTGTACTAACACAAGAACCAGCATCTGTGAGTTAAGAAGGACGAGCAGGAAGAGGAGGAGGAGGAGACAGCCATGACGTGCAGCCGAATATACTTAAGCCCGCCCCCGGCGCAATGAAAATAGGTACCTTCCCTCCTGGACCGCCCTAGACAGGCATTCCTGTCCTTTCGCCTAGCAATGCAATCCCTGACTGGATCTCGTGCGGGCAACGAGTCCAAAGCTCTAACAAAGTGAGTGAAGAAGCACATCCAAAGCCGTGGACAGAAGCGCCCGGGACAACAGCAACCAGCAACACCATACACTGCTGCAGCCCACCACTTCAAAACAACAACAGCATTCATCAAGTCCAAGCCATACTACCCGCCTCCAGCACCTCGGTGCGCCCGGAAGCGCTCACTGACAGGCAGCGCTTTCCGGCCTTCTGTCTCTATTGTCCCCGCACCCCAACCACTCCTCATTTGGGATTTGCTCGGCCTTCCCTTATCTAGCCATTCTAGCGTGTATTCTGATGGAATTTCTTGCCTCCACCACGATGAGGGTTTACAACAGCCAAGTCAACCGCCGCCAAAACACGTTTTATACACCAGCATCCCAGCCAGTGCGGCAAAAGTCTCGATTGCCCGTCTTGCAAAACTTACATGGGTAGGAGCACATCTACGCAAGACACACCCACCCCACCCAACCACTCTCCACCCTCCCATAACCCCATCCCCCAACACCTCCCCAAGACCTCCTCCCATCCATATCCATCAGCGCAGCACCCTGGCATTATTCCGCAATGCATGCATGCCCGTTGCCTGTGAAGGCACGGTGCCTATCGTTTGTCCATCCGTTCGTTATGCATGCATGCATGCACCACGTCAAGGCATGCCGTCTATCATGGTTAGAAGCAGTTTCCCAGCCCCTGGGCTTGAAGACACCGCGACCATGCAGCAGGCGGCTTGCACGAGCTACAGCGCGAGGAATGCCTATTTCGCCCCAGCCAGATGCCCGTCTGTATGCGTCTGGAGAGCGGCCACGGCCACGCCCATGTCCTGGCTGCGCGCGTGCGGTAGTGCTAGCGCACGACGCAGGTTCATGCACTCGTCTGTAGGTAGGTTGGTCTTGCTCCACTCCTGCCATCATCACCACCACCACCACCACCACCGCGCCCCGCGCTCTCAGAACCAACCCAACGCGCGCTCGAACGCCAGTCCCAGTCGCCGCATCCGCTACCCAGAGCAATCCGCCCAGCAAGTGCACAGCACAGCGCAGCTACCGCTTGGCCCGATTGCGGATAAACTGGCTAATCTGCTCATGGCGGGTAATAAATAGCAAGCGCTTGACATCGCTATCCCAGACCCTGACGCCAATAGCGCGCGCATAGTCACGGATATCCTTGTACTCCTCCCAGTCCTTAAAGTCCTTCATGAGGAAGCCGTCGGTGGCCAGCATGCGCTCGCCCTCAATCTGCCACAGGCGGATCTGGTCCACGACCGTCGGCGGCAGCGCCGGCACGTGCTTCTGCATCTGCGGGTGCGCGTACGTGTCCAGGTACGCGATGATCTGGTCCGACGTGATGCCCAGCGCAATGGCGCGCTGCACAGACTCCTTTGTCAGTTTTCCTGCTACTAGGTTCGGGAATCGCGTCGTTAGTCGCGTGAAGAGGTTGAGCACGGCGATTTGCAGCTCGCTGCTCGTGTACGCGTACAGCCGGTAGTTCGTCTCGATGATGATGTAGCCCTTGGTGGCGCCGGGGGCGGACGACGCGTCCAGCGCCGACGAGAACGCGCTCGTGTTTTGCAGGGCCGCGGCGTCAGACGTCAGCGTCGTGGCGAGGCGGGTGGGGTAGAAGCGCGGCGACGAGGGCGAGGTGCGGTAGACGATGCCGAAGTCGTTGAGGTCCTCGAGCATCTGCAGCTGCGTCGGCGAGAGGTTCGCCGTGCTGTACGCCTGGCCCAGCTCCAAACTGCCCAGCATGAACAAGAACGACAGCACGTCGACCTCGTCCATTTTCAGCTGGGATGCATGGCTCAGGTACACAATCAGCAGACTCCACACCTGCGCATTCACCTCCTGCAGCAGGAACGTGAAGCCCTGCTTCGTGATGGCGGCGCGGCTCCCCCGCGCCTCGACAAAGTTCCCCACCTCCAGCAGTGTCTTTGTGCCCGGGCTGATAGCGTTGCCGCCTCCGCCTACGCCTGCCGTTGCCCCCGTGCTGCCCACCATGTAGTATAGAATGGCCTCCCACTGGCCGCGCGCAAAGTGGTCCAGCGACGCCACGCTGACCTTTTTGTTGCCGTGCCCGTCGCCGTCGCCGCACGGCACACCAAACGACCGATGGTTGCCTCCGCCCGTCAGAGCCTGCCGCAGGGAGTTCTGGAACCCGCTCGACAGCCGGTACGCGCGCTGCCCCGGCGGCTCTTGTATCTGCGATACGATGTGCAGGCTTTCGAGTACCGAGAGCGCCTTGTCTTTCTCGCTGCGGGTGCGTCAGCGCTGCCTGATGCTCATTCCCACGTCATGGCGGTATGGTATGGTATGGTATGGAGGGGCTTGCTTACCCTTTGGCGTCGGGGCGGATCCACGCGTCCAGCTCGGCCGCAGAGAATGGCCCTGTCATGTAGAGCATTGCCATGACGATCGTTTTCGCTGCAATGTGCATGGCAGTCAGTCAGGAGGACGTCTGGCGTGGGGAGTTGGTGTGGTTGCAGCTCACGCACCCAGATGCGGCAGCATGCGGCGGAAAACGGCCAGCGCCGTCGATGGCTGCTGGTACAGCTTCTTATGCGTGGTTCCGGACATGCCCTCGAGGTATTCGAGGGCCAGGTTCGACGGGCTCGGCATCGTGGCGGGTTTGGGGCGGGCGACTTGTTGTGGTGTTGTTGTGTTTGTGTCGAGAGCTACAAGAAGCTCAAAGAAGTGCGTCACGATGGTCGGATAGGCAAACGAGTGGATTAGAAATTAGGTTGTAAAAGAGCCCTGCGGAGTGGGATTCGGCGGCGCTCACAGCCCCATGGTACGGATGCAGAGGCGCGTTGCTTGCAGGCGCAAGTGAGAGTAGAGTAGAAGCTGTAGGAATGGAATCTACAGATCGGCCCGGCAACTCGCCCCGACGCCGACAACGCCCCGACGACGAAGCGCATTTGCCAGCTCTCTCCCGCAACGCCCTCACCACCATGGCCGACGTCGACACCGCCGCACCCGCGCCCGCCCCCGGCCCAGGCGACGAGCCCAGCAATGGCAGCTCCTCCGCCGTCGTCACTACAACCACCACCACCGACGCCATCATCACCACCAATGCCGAAGGCAAAAAGGTCAAGCGCATCGTGCGCAAGAAGCGGCGGCCCGCGCGGCCCCAAGTCGACCCGGGCACCTTCAAGTCGGAGCCGCCCCCGCAGACGGGCACCATCTTCAACATCTGGTACAACAAGTGGAGCGGCGGCGACCGCGAAGACAAGTACCTGTCCAAGCACGCCGCCCCGTCGCGCTGCAGCATCGCGCGCGACAGCGGCTTCACGCGCGCCGACAGCGTGCCCGGCAGCTACTTTTGCCTGTTCTTTGCGCGCGGCCTCTGCCCCAAGGGCCAGGACTGCGAGTACCTGCACCGCTTGCCCGGCTTGCACGACATCTTCAATCCCAACGTCGATTGCTTTGGCCGCGATAAGCACAGCGATTACAGAGATGATATGGGCGGTGTGGGCAGCTTCATGCGCCAGAACCGCACCCTCTACGTCGGCCGCATCCACGTCTCCGACGACATTGAAGAAATCGTCTCCCGGCACTTTCAGGAATGGGGCCAAATCGACAGAAGTACGTCTACGCACCCCATCCCTCCCTTTCACGGACATCAGCTAACCCAAATCTCCCTCACACAGTCCGCGTCCTAAACCAGCGCGGCGTAGCCTTCGTAACCTACACCAACGAAGCCAACTCGCAATTCGCCAAAGAAGCCATGGCGCACCAAGCGCTCGACCACAGCGAGATCCTCAACGTGCGCTGGGCGACGGTGGACCCGAATCCGCAGGCGCAAAAGCGCGAAGCCCACCGCATCGAGGAGCAAGCGGCGGAAGCGATCCGTGCAGCGCTGCCGGCGTCCTATGTAGCCGAGATCGAGGGCCGCGACGTCGACGCCAAGAAGCGCCGCAAGATCGAGGGCGGCTTCGGCCTGCACGGCTACGACGCCCCGGACGACGTGTGGTATGCGAAGGAGAAGGCGGCGCAGCTGGAGGGGCCGGAGCAGCAGCGCTTGCTCGAGGCGGCGGATGCGGTCGAGGCGCAGCAGCAGCACGAGGAGGATGACGACGAGAACGCCGGCCCCCTGCTGCTGGGGCAGAACAACGGCGCGGGTGCCGGTGCCCAGGGAGGCATCCTGTCCGGAGCGACGCTGGCGGCGCTGCGCGGCGCCGCTGGGCCCGCTATCACGTTCACGGCGGGGAAGAAGGAGCGCGCCGCGGGGCCGCTAGTCGGCTATGGCAGCGACGAGGACAGCGATTAGCGACGAGGTATGTAATGTACTACTGCGTTTGAAAGGGAACAATTTCTAGATGCGCTGCGTGGCATGGCGTGACATGGGGCTGGCTGGAGTTTTTAGGGAAAGCTGCATATGCATAGGTAGGGCAAAGGGATTAGGTCGTAATAAAATGCAAGGTCCGAAAGCCTGTTAGGTACTCATAACAGCAGCAAAGAGAGCGAGAGCAGCAGCAGCAGCCCCGACACGGCGTTATTCGAGCGACTCGTAGATTAAGCATTGATGGCGCATGGTGAGAGATGTACTACGTAGGAGTAACATTGCTTGGTAATGGGTACGGCCGGGATGGATGGAGAGAGCATCTGCCGACACGGCGAGCTTCCTCCCACCTACCACCAAACGAGATGCTGCCTGTGCCCCGCCTTGTACGAGCAGCTGCAAAACCCCGCCGCCGCCTCGTTCCACTACCCCTCGCACCACGCGCCCGCCGTCCCTTCACCACCCCCCCCTACCACTGCAAGCCCGTCTGGCCCTACATTTATAGTCCCTTCAAAGCCATGGCGCCCTCTCTCGACTCTTACTTCCAGCAGGTTGACACCCTGTCTGAGTCCTTTATCGAACGCCTGCGCAAGGCCGTTGCCATTCCCTCCGTCTCGGCCGACGAGGAGAGGAGGCCCGATGTCGTCAAGGTACGTGTTATACTGTATCGTAGTTCCCCCGGCTCACACGACTGTCTACGATTTAGATGGGCGAGTTCCTCGCCAGCGAGCTCAAGACGCTCGGCGCAGAGGTGCACCTCCGTCCGCTCGGCAAGCAGCCGCACAAGGAGCACCTGGAGCTGCCGCCCGTGGTGCTGGCGCGCTACGGCAGCGACAAGAACAAGCGCACCATCCTGGTCTACGGCCACTACGACGTGCAGCCGGCGCTGAAGGAGGACGGGTGGGCGACGGAGCCCTTTACGCTGACGGTCGACGACAAGGGCCGCATGTACGGGCGCGGCGCGACTGACGACAAGGGCCCGGTGCTCGGGTGGCTGAACGCCATCGAGGCGCACCAGAAGGCGGGCATCGACTTCCCGGTGAACCTGCTCATGTGCTTCGAGGGCATGGAGGAGTACGGCAGCGAGGGCCTCGACGACCTCATCCACGCCGAGGCCAAGAACTTCTTCGCCGACGCCGACGCCGTCTGCATCTCCGACAACTACTGGCTCGGCACCGAGAAGCCCTGCCTGACGTACGGCCTGCGCGGCTGCAACTACTACAGCATCGAGATCTCGGGCCCCGGCCAGGACCTGCACAGCGGCGTCTTTGGCGGTACCGCCCACGAGCCCATGACGGACCTCGTGCGCGTCATGGGCTCGCTCGTCGACCCGCAGGGCAAGATCCTCATCGAGGGCCTGGACGCGCTGGTCGCGCCGCTGACGGACGAGGAGAAGTCGCTCTACGGCGACATCGCCTTCACCATGGACAACCTGTACGAGTCGCTGGGCAGCCAGACGGGCCTGTTCCCAGACAAGGAGCGCACGCTGATGGGCCGCTGGCGCTTCCCCTCGCTGTCGCTGCACGGCATCGAAGGCGCCTTCAGCGCACCCGGCGCCAAAACCGTCATCCCCGCCAAAGTGACGGGCAAGTTCTCGATCCGCATCGTGCCGAACATGGAGATCGACGACGTGAACAAGCTGGTCGAAGCGCACGTGAACAAAGCCTTTGCGGCGCTGGGCTCCAAGAACACGTGCAAGTTCATCGTGCAGCACTGCGGCAAGTGGTGGGTTGCCAGCCCCAAGCACTGGAACTTCACGGCCGCGGCCAAGGCCGTCGAGCGCGTCTGGAAGGTCAAGCCCGACTTGACGCGCGAGGGCGGCTCCATCCCCGTCACCCTCACCTTCGAGCAGGCCACCGGCAAGAACGTCCTCCTCCTGCCCATGGGCAGCTCCACCGATGCCGCGCACAGCATCAACGAGAAGCTCGACCGCAGGAACTACATCGAGGGCATCAAGCTGCTCGGCGCTTACTTGCATTATGTGGCTGAGGAGCCCATGAACGCGGCCGCTTAGACGAGAGCAGATATATACCTTTGCGTTTTAGTGCCTGGTGGAGTGCGTATACAAATGAATCTATGACGACGTATGTATGCGTTTGGCCGCGGTGATGTGTTTGCGTGAGCAGCAGTGAGTGAGTGATACGTAGCCCTCTGGCGTGAGGAACCAGCATCAGCATACCTACAGTATGGAAACGTCGTCTCCCCGGATAAAACAGCGCCGGGTAGGCACACAGCACAGCACAGCACGCATGCAAGCTACAGTTAGGTAGACGGACAAGCATCACGCCATCCATCCAAGCAGCACCACCAGCACCACGTACACAGTAGCAAAACGAGAGGTAGATACCCAGGTGAAGACAGCCTAGAGCAGCCCAAAACGGCGTCAACCACACAACCCGAGACGAGCATCTATACCTGCATCAAAAGCCCCCTCAACATACACACATCAACCACCACCTTCCCCCCTCCCCACCAAAGGAAGTAGAAAAGGCGAATTTTGTATTAAGAAAAGAAAGAGAAACGAGAAACAGGAAAAAAGCTCGCCCCAAATGCCGTTGAGGGCAAGGCGCGTGCTGTCGGATATCCCATTTAAAAAAACAAGAAAAGGAACAACGAAACCAACACCCAGAAAATCACAAAAACAACAACAAAAAACAGCCCCATCAGAAAAAAAGCGAAGTGTGTGTAAATAAACATTTCCACCTCCTTCCCTTCTCATTTTTGTTTTATGTGTTTTCTGTATACAACAGCCGTCATCGCCT